AGGCCCTAAATCTAAGAGAGAAAGAATTCTTTAAGCTATAGCTGCAATTATTAGTAGAATAGAATAGCCTAAGGAAATAGTAGCTTAAGTCTACTAAATTGCTTTAGAATTCTAGCTAGAGGAAATAAAGAAAGAAATCTATAAAACTACTTTCTCTGCTATTTTAAAAGGGATTATACTTAAGTAGGATATCCTTATCCTATAAAGCTATAAAGAAGTAGTAGGAAATACGGAATAGGGAAACCTATAGAAGGAAGCTATTAAAAAGAAATTAAATTCTCTAGGAAGCAATTATATATAGAAGGAAACTATTACTCTAAAAGGTGCAAACCTTATAAGTTCTAAGTAGGTATTTATAGTTAAGAGACTAGTAAGTAGTATACTTAATAAGCTAAAAGCAAGGCTTATTATAAGAGGATTTTCCTAAAAGTATAGAGTTAATTTTAAGGAGACATTTGCTCTAATAGTTAGATATAAGACTCTTAGGACCTTTATAGTAGTAGTCTATAAGAATAACCTTAAGCTATACCTAGTAGATATAGATAGTGCATTTATAAATAGTTACCTAAAGGAGGACATCTTTATAGTAGTACCTAAAGGAGTTAATATTACCCCTAGATATATTTTAAAGATCCTAAGAAGCCTTATATAGACTTAAGTAAGTAGTAAGAGACTAGAATTAACTCTATATCTTAAAGCTCCTTAGTCTTAGATTTGTTTAGTCTAAGGTAGATCTATACCTTATATACTATTATAGGAAAGAACTTAAAGTTATAACTTATATAGATAACATTCTAATTGCTAGAAGATTAATAGATTCTATAAACTAGTTTAAGAAAAGTTTTAGAAAGATCTTTAATATTAAGGATCTTAGGGAACTATTAAGGATCCTAGGGATAAATATAACTAGAGATAGGAAATATAGAACCCTAAAGCTTAATTAAGAATACTATATCCTTAAGAGCCTTTAGAAACTTAGAATAGATATAAAGTTATTAAAGCTAACTCTCTTACTAATAGATAATTATAAGGGACTAGAAAAATCTAGCCTAGATAATAAAAGATATAGTAGGGAAGAGTACTAAATAACAATTAGGACTTAGATATAGCCTATAATTATTATAAGGCTAGACATTGCATTTACTATTAGAAAGCTAAGCTCCTTTTCTAGTAATCCTTCTACGAAATATATAAGAGCCCTAAAGAAAGTCTTAAGATACCTTAGGTTAAACCCCGATCTTAGAATTACCTTCTTAAGGGATAAACTAGGATTYCTAACTAGATACTTAGACTTAGATTTTGCTATAGATAAATCCGAYAGGAAATCTRTTCTTAGAAATGTTTTTATRCTTTATAATAGACTAATCTTATAAATAAGYAAGAAGCAGAAGTCTATAGCTACCTTAATAATAGAAGCTAAGTTTATAGYAATAAATGCYTATRYAAAATAATTATAGTTCCTCTTATCCCTTCTTAGAGAAATAGGTTAAGGAAATTTAGTTAGATTATCCCCTTTTTAACTAAAGATTAAGGCTAGAGAGGAAATGTTAAATAAGCTTAGACTAGTTTATCTTTTTAAGGATAACTAGGCTTGCCTAACACTAGTAAAAGATGCTTATATTTATAAAAGGTTAAAGCATATTAACATTGCATACAACTTTATTAGAAGACTTTAATAGGAAAAGAAAATTTCTATAGAATATCTTCTAATAAAGGAGATAATTGCAGATAGGTTAACTAAGCTATTAAATGGACCTAGCTTTTAGACTTTTATAACCTAGTTAAGACTCTAGTAAATAAGAGGAGAACAAAGGGCAAAAAGGGTAGTATCGCCTAAACTAAGTTTTTAGTCTAGGCGACATTATATACTAAGTTAAGGAATTGCACTAAGATAGTAGCTAAGATAGAACTATATCTTTAGGCTATAGGACTACCTTTCTACATTTAATAGAATCTATAAAACTGCAGGGAAATATATTTAGCCCTTTCTTCCCTAAGTAGGAGTATTAAAACTTAATAGGTTTAGAAAGGGAAGAGAGCTTAGAGTAGAATCTAATCTAAGGTAATTCCCTAGTTAGGTAATTAGGATGCTAAGGCTAAAGGCACACACTTATTCTTAATATTCAGTTCTTAAGATAATTAATTTAATAAACACACTTGTTTAGTTCCTACTTTAAGTGCTATGCACCTTATAATAAATTAGTTTAAGATTAGAGTCTCTTATCTTACCCTTTGCCGCTGCATCCTATTACCTCCCTAGCCTCTAGATTTGGATTTTTAGTTAGACAATTTAACATTCTCTCTATTAAGAAAGAGTATAGTTCTATAGTACTAAGAGATAAGGGAATACTAGATCTCTTCTTTCGTAAATCGATTAAAAGCTTAGCTACTAGCTTATACTCTTTCTTAATAACGGTTATATACTAAATCGACGATAAGAAACATATTCTGCCTATTAAGAAAGAGTATAACTTAATAGAATAAGAAGTACTAGATTTCATCTTTTATAAACCTAGTTAGAGCCTAGCCCCTAGCCTATACTCTTTCTTAGTAAAGAAGATATACTAATAGGACTATAACTAAGATATTTTACCGATTAAGAAAGGGTATACTCTAATAGAATGAGGATTACTAGATTTAATCTTTTATAATCCTATTTATAGCTTAGCCTTTAGCCTATACTCTTTCTTATAAAGACTTATATACTAATTAGACTATAAGAAGTATATTATATCTATTAAGAAAGAGTATAACTTAATAGCGCTTAAAAATAAGTCTTATTAAATCTAATTGTTCTTAAATCTATTTATCGCTTAGAGTATATTCTATACTCTTTCTTAATAAGGTATATATACTAAATAGACTATAAGGGACATATTTCGCCTATTAGGAAAGAGTAGAACCTTATAGTATTAGGAGATAAGAGAATACTAGATCTTTTCTTTCGTAAATCGATTAAAAGCTTAGCTACTAGCTTATACTATTTCTTAATAACGGTTATATACTAAATCGACAATAAGAAACATATTCTACCTATTAAGAAAGAGTATAACTTAATAGAATAAATTGTACTAGATCTTGTATTTCGTAAATCTATTTATAGCCTAGCTTCTATTATATATTCTTTCTTAGTAACGGAGATATACTAGTTAAGTAATAAGAAATATATTCTCTCTACTAAGAAAGAGTATAAGCTAATAGCGTTAAGAGATAAGGAAATACTAGATCTAACCTTTCTTAAATCTATTTTTAGCTTAGCCTTTCGCCTATACTATTTCTTACTAACGTATTTAAACTAATTAAGCTATAAGAAGTATATTCTCTCTATTAAGAAAGAGTATAACTTAATAGCGTTAAGAAATTAGATTTGAACAAATTTTACTTAGTATTACGTAGTAGCGTTAATAAATAGGAAAACATTAGGTCTTTATCTTCCTAGACTTTAGCTTAGCTTATAAAGTTTGTCTATTCTACTATGGAAACCGAACAACTATTACTAGTAGTTCGTACTAATATAGCCACGATTATCTAAAAGCTCTCGTTAAAAGCTTAGAGAAAATCGTGTACGTAGGTTACTTAATAGGGTAATACGCCGAGAAGCGGATAACACTATAATAGTATGCGTTATTACGTGTATACTCCTTTAGCTATATTTGTCGTGTTCGATTACTATACCGCCTACGCTATTACTACGATAATGCTCCGGGAAGGAGGCTAACTAAGCCGTAAAGGTAGACTACCGGTAAGTAGGCCGCCCGAGATAGAGCTATCGATATAAGGGTTGTTCGTTAGAACAAGACATCCTTAGTTATCCTTAAGATGTTAAAAGGCCTCGCTCTCTATAGGCTAGACGAATCTAGACCTGCTAGAATCGATAGTACTAGCAGAGTAGCCCGTTAATCGACCGAGAGAGCAGTTCAGGGCGCTGCTCTTTCTGACGATTTCTCATATCGACAGCTCTGGCCCGAGAATTGTGTCTCGTCCGTAGAGTTGCTCCGCAGATCATCTTTCCAAGGATGTCGAGAAGAAAAAGCAGAAGTGAGAAGATGAAAGGAGCGGAATCGTGAGCAGAGAAGCCTTCGACAGCGGGGATACCACAGCCGATATTCAGCTGCCGAACGATAGGTAGCCCTGCCTCTACTTACATTTTTCCTCGTCACATAACTCCGCCAATCATCACTGCGGAATCGTCGTTCGAGGCAACATCTTCCGATCGTCCAGCAATGATCGATCCTGGTTGAATTCTCTAAACCACATCTCTCACAATCCCACCACGATTTTACATCCATAGGGTGTCATATCTGGCCATCGCTACCCGGATGGTGTTCTGAGACGACTCTTTCCTACCAACGACGACTCGTGCCCAGCAATGACCGATCTTGGTTGAATTCCCTAAAACACATCTCTCACAATCCCACCACGGTTCTACATGTATGGCTTCTCACGTCTTGCCCTCGCTGCTTGGATGATGCTCTGAGACGAGTCTTCCTCATCAACGACGACTTTCCTGGATTGAAATCGTTTGGTAGTGGCGGGCGGGCTCCTCGTGAGAGGTGGCGGGAGGCCCGGTGTCGAGGKTTATTAATACCAGAAACAAAAGTCAGCCATGTCGCGGCAATGTGAAGTCGCAAAAGTGCACATACGGAGGGGGGAATCTCTTCGCCCGTGTCTTGATGATGTGGTTGTTCGTGGATGAGGATGTCGTCGAGAGACAGGTCTCTGGAGGTGGTGAAGAAGAATTGTGGAAGGGGAAGTGTGTTGAAGAGCTGTTGGAAGAGTGAGTAAGGTTGATAGAAGGCTTTAGGCAACCACAAGCACGGACCGCTCCCGTGCATGAGCATGTGCGTTCAAAGTGAAGTTAATGGAAAGCTTGCCCTTGGGGATTTCCCAACAAAGAATAGCACTTTTGGGTGTGACATGTTTCCAGGCGCTGCCGATAGCATGCTTAATTGTGCGAAGGGATGTGGATGGAAGAGCAGACTGTGAGGGAGACTATGAGCTTAAGGGACGCGAAACGGCACCTCTTCTGTCGGACTTCTATCCGCGGCGCCTAGGATGTTCGAAAATGCCATTAGTATGCGGCAGCCTGGGTTCGTGATTTCAGGTGCTTTGGATAGCATGTTAAACGCTGCGAAGAGTTTACGACGGTATGCCACTAGAGGGAGGAGGATTAATCCTCGGGTGACTAATTCATTGGCTTCGGATAGCCCCAGCCCTGCATATCCCTTCGCAACGATTGATATGCTACCCAACGCGCCTGCAATCATGTCATCTCGAACTCGACTGTTCGGCTGATCTCGATGTGCAAGATCCTGCAAAAATGCATCTATCTCTGGTTGCTTCTATCCGGTGTAGTGACCTGCTTTAAATCGACGGATGTTTGAACGGTATAGCCGTTCGTCGGTTCCTTTGAACGATCCGGAAGCCCTCAATAAGGTGCCGACGGAGCGGATGTGGAGAACATTACGCCTAGTGTTGGTAAATTAGGGGCGTAGCCGCGCCCGAAAGTGGCGAGAGCATCCTTGTTGCAAGAACGGCTCGATTTTGCGAGCGATTGCGGCAATCGAAGTTGTTGTGGGGGGTAGTTGGCGGATGGCAGAAGGCTACGGATGTCGAGATGAAGTCACGTCCCAGGTCGCGGCCGTGCCGCCGATCTGGAGCGCCGGGCCGCGGGTGCATTCATTCGATTTCAGGGGTACAGCACCAGAGAAACCATATCCCACCGCTTTACCGTATACATCACGGAAGCTCCTCACAAATTGTCAGTACGTTGCCAGCCTGGAGCCTTCTAGCCTATTCTTACTCCGACGCGCAAAGGTAAAAGACAGAGCTGTCGATATGAGAAACCCACGACAAAATAGCGCCCTCAGTTGACCTCTCCGTTGGATGACAGACTACTCTGCTGCTAGTAAATGTTCTAGCAGCTCCAGAGTYGTCGTTAGTACAGAGAACAAGGCTCTGGGACGTCACTGAGGGTGTCTTGTCTCGATGAATAATCCTCATATCGACAGCTCTGGTAAAAGACAGCATTTACAGCATCCACAAGAGTAGCTACGAGTTGGAAGGAAGTCAAGACCATACGGCGTACGCCTCCGCCGAAATGACCAGAGCTGTCGATATGAGGAATTATCGGCAAGAGCAGCGCCCTTAACTGCTCCCTCGCTTGATTAATGGGCTACTCTGCTAGTGATTAGGAATCTAGCAGGCCTAAAATCGTCGATTCTGTAGAGAGTAATGCGTTAGGTCATGGCGGGAATGAATAAGGATGATTTGTCCCGGCGAACAATCCTTATATCGACAGCTCTGGAAATGACCCACAAAACTGTCAGAATCGCCTTTACATGCACAAATCTAGCGACAGCCGTTGAGCGGAGAGTGCACACGAGTGAACATTGACGGAAAACACTTCAGTTGTGGTTCACGCTCAATGCCCTCCACAACTTCCAGCAATTCCTTTGACAATGCCTCAACACAACCCGCCACAGATAATCTGAATAGAAATGTTGCTCCTCGCACACGTGAGTGCCATTCTCCAAGATCCCATTCTTTTGGGTGGGAAAGTGAAGCGTGTTTTGTTCTGGACAAGCTTAGCGCCGAGTTGAGGAATGAAATCTACGAGCTCCTCGTCGTGTCCGACCATCCGATTGCTCTCCCCCGGCTGCAATACGAAGAGGACGTCGGCAAGGACACGAAGGAAACTAGGTCTATCAATCCAAACTTCTTCCGGGTGTGTAAGCAAATCAGGCAGGGATGCAAGCCAATGCTCTACGGTAGCAACACATTCACAATGATTGAGGGAGGTTATCGGAACTGGCCACGGTTCTTCGAGACGATCGGCGCACTTGATACCTGATTCGATCCTGACCAATAGAGCGGGGATGTTTCGACTGCTCTGGATGCCGTACCAGCCCGCCGGTCACAACGTGGATGGAAGAGAACAGCTGCGCAGTTGACTCTGATTATTGCGCCTTCGATATGACGGTACTACCCTCGGACGGTCGCTGGTATCTTTGGCATCAATTGAGCATGCCAATTATGAGACTTGGTATGCGGGCGAAGTTGAAAGAAGTTGACCAGACTTGGAGGGAAATTGACCTCTCCATACAGCGCGTGGGTGTAGTTGTGGCGGGTTCCTTGCCATTAGCACAGCTGCTTGTTCGACTGCGCGAGAGCGACAGCCATTCACCGTTGTCATTCCACACGATGGGCACTCCCCAGTTACGGTCCTTCAGAGTAGCTTTGGAGGTTTTGCTGCATATCAACACAATCCACATCGAAATCACGCCTTGTTCTTCTTACTCCGCTTCTTCTTCCTCTTCCCCTCCACTTCACCCGCATCACCCTCTCCTTTCTCTTTCTCCTCCACTTCCACTTCATCATCAGCCTTTCTCTTCTTTCCCCACTTCCTTCTATCCACTTGAACCGGCTCGCCATCTTTGGTGACAATCTTTTCAAACCCACCTGTAGGCTCTTCGGCATCTCCAAACTGTTCCCTCCTCCAAGCCTTCAGTCTCGCCTTCTTGCCAAACTTCTTCTTATCACGTTTCTTCTTCTCATCATCTCTAAACGCTGCCATCTTTTTCAACCCGGCGAACTCATTCAACGCTGCATCATCAGCAAATAGAATATCTCTTGCTGACAGGCCGAAGCTTGTTGGTGAAGTCTCTCGATAACGGAAGCCAGCTGTAGGTGCTGTGGAGAGCGGCAAAGTCGAATCCACAATAGACTCAATCTGCATGCGTTCTTTCCGGGAGGCGCGCTTGGCTTCGGACTTTTCCCGCGCGCGATCCTTTTCCGATTTGGGCTTCTTCTTCTTTTCGTCTCCAGAATCATCCCCACCCACGGGTACACCTCCATCTGCTTCGTCATCCTCCGAATCCACATCAGAGAGCGAAACCGCGGGCTTCTCCCCATCATCAAAGTCTGGCACGAGATCGGCAATGTCAATATCATCATCCCACTTTGGTTTCTTCGCTTTACTCTTCGCGGCACTCTCCTCATCACTTCCATCTTCAGACCCTGCAGCGTAATAGTCCTCCCCAAATCTCCTCTTCATCTCCTCCTCCCATTTCTCATCATCGAAATCGCCCTCGATAACACCCCTCCACGCATCCAAATCGACATCCTTTCCGCGTAGACCGGCCGCCTCTTTAATCTTCTTGACTTTTTCTTCCGCCTCCTCAATCTTCAACTTCCTCAATCGCGCCCTGTCCTCCTCCAACTCCTTCTTCAACGCCTCCTTTCTCTCCTTTTCGCGATCTCTCGCCTTGGCTCTCCCAGTCTTTTCATCCCTTCGCACGCCATATTTTCCCACATCACGTGCAAAGCTCGCCAACTTCTCATTCGCCTTGGCCGGATCTTCAAATCTCAAATTATACGCCTCCTCAAACTCATCCGCGCGCGCGTCATCCTCACTGTCATCTGATTCCAGCGGAGCAAAGCGTGAAGCCGAGGGATCTGAAGGTAGCCATGCACGAGCAGCCATGAAGTTTGAGAGGAAGGTTTCGGGATCTTTGTCAGCAGCTTGAATATCGGCGTCGGTGATTTTGACCGCCTTTTTGCTCTTGCTCTTCTTGAGTGGTGGGAGGTCCTCATGCCGAGAGCGGGATTTGGCGACGARAAAGTCGCCTTCATCATCATTCTCGTCCGACTTTCCAGCAGCATGCATGGAGCCCACAAGTTCCCGCTTGAGCTGATCCTGTTCCTGTTGATATGTGGGGACGACCTCCTCATCTTCCTCGACTTCCTCCCCATTCATGCCTTTCATGTAATTTTCGCGGTGGTAGTCTTGTAGATACATTGGCTTCTCGCTCTTGGCCTTGTCGTCGCCCTTGCTACCCTCCTCATTCTCGAAATCGCGGTAAAACGTGACGGTGGGATCCAATCTTCGCGGATCCTTGTTCTTGATGGCCTGCAGTGTCGCCAGAATCTCATCGTCAAGCTCCGCTGTGGCCAATTCCGCAACATCATCTTCATCCTCGTCATCGCTGCTGCTGTCGTCGTCGTCTTTCAACTGCTGCAGCTTCGCCTTTTCCTCCAGCCGCGACAGTTCCTGCCGCTTTTTGTTGTACTCGAATCGCTGCGCATAGTCGGCGTTGATGGTGAGTGTTGGCGCGGATTCATCTTCAATCTCCTCCTCGTCGAGAAACTTTTGGCGTTTGGCGGCAGACATGATGTCGGTCGGTGTTGTGGTGTTGAAGATGTGGAGGTCGCAGATTTATTTCGGGATCGCGAACAAAATTATCGACCCGATCCCCGAACGGGACTAGCGGGATCCGATAAGCGATGCCGCTTAGAACGTTCGTGATCATCTTTTTTACATCGACATCACCTCCACCAACCACCAAAATGGAACCTCCCAGCAAACGCAGAAGACTCTCCGAGGATGGTAGCAAAACAGACAGTGGTAGTGATGGGGAAGCGGTCCCTCCAATCACCTCAAAACCCGTCAATTTCACCTCTCGAATCCAGCCGAAAAAAGTTCTCGACAAGTCCAGCAAACCCCAACCAGAGGAACTCCCACATCAAGACCTATCTTCCCTCCCAAACACAATCCAGGAAACGATTGATACAAAATCCACATTCGCATCCATCGGAACGGATCCATGGCTCATTGCGAGTCTTTCCAACATGGCCATTAAATTTCCAACCAGAATTCAATCCGCCACCATCCCTCGCATCTTATCAGGGCAGGATTGTATAGGTGGGAGTCGTACGGGATCTGGAAAAACTGTCGCATTTGCTCTGCCCATCCTCCAACAATGGGCACGTCAACCTAGTGGGATATTCGCTCTGGTCATGACGCCTACCCGTGAACTGGCTCTTCAAATCTACGAACAAATTCAAGCAATTGGCGCCAGTCAGAGCATCAAATGTCTTCTCGTAACTGGTGGAGCAGACATGCGTTCACAAGCTCTGGAACTAGCGAGAAGACCACACATTGTCATTGCCACACCTGGTCGCTTGGCAGATCACATTCAAAGTTCGGGAGAAGACACATTCCGTGGATTGAAGAAATGCAAATTTGTCGTCCTCGATGAAGCAGACCGATTGCTTGCTAGTGGGAAAGGAAGCATGCTACCTGATGTCGAGACCTGTCTTGCTGTCCTACCTCCGGCCGCACAGCGACAGACCTGCCTCTTCACCGCCACCGTGACACCCGAAGTTCGAGCGTTGAAAGAGACACCTCGCGAACCATCCCGCAAACCAGTCTTCGTCTGTGAAGTTGACATTGACTCCCTGGCCATTCCGGACAWGCTGAAACAAACCTACCAACTAGTCAACGTCCTCCACAAAGAAAAGTTTCTGCACGTCCTCCTCTCCACTCCCGCCAACCTCACCAAAACTACAATCATCTTCGCAAACCGTACCGACACTGCAAATCTTCTAGAATACATGCTACGACTTCTCGAACATCGAGTCACAGCCCTGCATTCGCAACTTCACCACGACCAGCGCATCTCCAACCTCGCTCGGTTCCGTGCCGGCGCAGCACGTATACTGGTAGCCACAGACGTCGCATCTCGTGGATTGGATATCCCAGACGTGGGACTGGTGATCAACTATGACCTTCCTCGCAATCCCGACGACTATATTCATCGGGTAGGACGAACGGCGAGAGCAGGAAGGGAAGGCTTGGCAATCAGTTTAGTGGGACAAAGAGATGTCGAACTCGTCAAAGCGATTGAGGAGAGAGTAGGAAGGGAAATGGAGGAGTTCGTAGAAGAAGGCGTCGCCGTTGAGGGCAGAGTCATTCGCGATGCTTTGAATGTCGTGGGAGATCGAAAGAGAGAGGCAATGATGGCTATTGAGGAAGGAAGAGATGTCAAGGGAAACCGAGTGAGAAGAATGGAGAGGGCGGATGGTGGGAAGAAGAGAGCCAGATGAAGTGTAATGTCAATTATCAAGTCGATACCAACTCAAAAAGGAGTACAACATATCTAATTATTTGGGTCATCTTTGGCGACCGTGGCCATGCGGCGTTCCATGAGCCGACACAGTTTTTTACGCTCAGTCGCGGGCATATCCCCGACAAGATCAATATTCTCCCTGTAGTCCACACTAAAAGCACCTGCTAAACTCAAACAACCTCTCTTTCTGAGAGGCTTATAAGTCATCGTTACCCCAATAACATCATGCACTCCCTCTTTCGTGTATCTTCTGCGCTCCGTTTCATTCCAGACCTCAACATAGTCGACGTGAGTATATTTCGCTTGAGACGTGATCCCATCCCCATCCCAACTGTACATCGGCAACACCATCATTCGATTTACGAATCTATACAAGACGACGGCCATGCGACTCTTCGAATAAACTCCACCGTAGTAGCTTCGACTGAGAAATTTATCCGATGCTGAGAGCTTTGGATTCATGTTGGGTTGATGCATGGGAAGACTTATGACATTTCCTCCGCGAAAGGTGTTCCTGTCTTTGGTAGCTTTCATGGTGCATAGACTCGTGTCTTCTGGCGCCAGTTCTTTTTCGTCTTCTGGTGGCCCTCCATTCTGGTTCTTCGGGCTGGAGCCTTTCTCAACCGATGACCGTCCTCGCTTGAGTTTAGGCTCATCTGATTCATCGTCCGTTGGATCCCCAGCTTTGCGCTTGGAAGATTTCCTCGTCTTCGAGGCAGACTTTGATCTTTTGGTTGGAGACGATGAGTCTTGGGGTGAGTTATCTGCTGAGCTTTGTCCTTCGACATCCAACACACTGTACATAGACCCGGCTCTGCGCGTCTGTGATCTTGTTCTGGGAGCCATGGTGAGGTTGGTGTGATGTGTGAGGGCAGACTGGTCCCAACTCGGTGGGATGGGACATCATTTGCATGATGAATCCTAAAAGGCCGCATGCGTCAGACACGACAAAGAATATCGGAACAATCCCTTAATGGACTATCAAGCTGAACAAAGCACAATCGACGACGCTGTTCTGGGTAGTTGGCCCAGAACATGTCGCCGTAAGCCCCTTTTCACTCGAAGGCTTGGCGTTGCGTCCGAAATCTCACTCGACGCAAATACATCAAAACCCATCAGCCCAAAAGCGACAACATCCTCTTCTCGGTAGTACCTACAACACGAAGATTGTTCACCAGAGGTCACAAAGCTAGTTTGAAACGCAAGTCAGAATTATTGCATAACGTGGAACAAAAGTACATAAGCAGTCAATTCTGCGGGCTCGCCAATCAAGACCCTCCGGCGGCCGAAGCCTCCTCTACGTTGCTTTCCCCCATAAGCAACTCCATCACCCTCATAAGTTGGTCGGCACTTTCCGGTGTAAGCTGTCCAATAACCTCAATTCTATCCTCATACCTTACGGAGAAAATCTCCGCCACACAAACGGCGCCCACTTTATCGAGTGGACGTCGCATTTGCGCTCCAATTGGTTCATACACCCCCTGTTGGGCATAGTCTGCGATCTCTGTGGCATTAGTTATCTCAATGTACTCTCTATGCAGGTCTGGGCTCTTGTTAGAAATGCCGTCTCCTCCCCAGCTGTACAACGGTACACAGACCATGCACTCCAGAAATCGCCATACTACGACCGCCATCCGTCTCTTCGAGTAAACCAGCCCCTCGGGAGTGTCCGAAACGCCCTCATCGCCGGCTTTCACACCCCGTCTCAAGTTCGAGACATGGTAAGCGAGTGATATGAGGGTCCCTCTCGAGTAGAGCTTGCGACGTTCAGGATTCGACTTTCTGAGCGTGAGGGATCTGGTTTCTCTGAAAAATCTTTTGCTAGACGAGCTGACACTTTTTTGGACCCCGCCACTACGCTGGCTTTCTTGTTTAGGTGCTTGCCATCCAAATGCTCCCGGTCGGTAGGCTCCCGTGGCAACTGGCGTTCTCCCACTCTCCCATGTCGACGCATCGGGGTCGTAAGCGGATGGTGCAAGGCTTGACCCGAAACTCCTCCTACGTGAGGCTTTACCTCTCTTTCTCTGCTCCGCGCGAGAAAACTGAAACGGTCTGTCGTCCGCAGGATCCACTGGATTGAATTCGTCGTTTCCTTCGTTGGGAGCCGGCGTCTCTTCTTCTTCATTTTCTTCTTCATTTTCAGCATCTCCTGGACCGATATCATCTCCCGGATCCGAGAGACTTGCTTGTTCAAGTGATTGTTGTACTGCTACGGCCCTCCTGGCTTCTGCTAGTCGAGGTGATGACCTGGTTCCTCGAGACGAGCTCGAAGAGTTCCTTTTTTGAGTAGGAGCCATTTTCAACGATCAATCGAATGTAGGAGTTCGTGGTTAGAGAGTCCGGTATGTAATCGAGAGACAGCGCATGGGCTGTTGAAAAGCAGGCTGCGCTGCCTTTCACGGCATTGTACAATGCATTCGACATCTCATCAGATGAACAAAGGCTACTAGGCTGAATCCGCTCATTGAGAAGGCACTGTGCATGGAACAAAGAACTGAAAGGTGACCGGCAGAGAGCCCAAGACGGGATGTTCACTTTCTTTGTTTGCAACGACAGGCTTACCCGTACATACCGCATACTACCATTTCCGTCTGGGTGTGAGTCCTCGACATCTAGTTCGTTCTGGACCGAACACTTGAGCCGTCCTCTGCTAGGACTTACTACGCGGGACCATTCCTCTGTGCCATGCTGGAATAGAAATCGCTGCGATCTTTCTCGCACCAAGGAGCGCCGATAATTACTTCTGCGGTTGCACATTTCCAATTCGAGTTCCATACTGCAGCAAACTCAAGCCTGTTTGGATGGCCACTGAGCGGTAAGGAGCATTGGAGATAGCGCATACGATTCGATGAAGCATGACCCGAGCTTTGTCTGCATCTGACGAAGGGATGGAATCGGATCTTGACGAGTCGGTGGTCCTCGGCCTGACGTCCCAGAGTCACTAATTCGAGCGGCCGTCACAGAAAGACAACAGAGAAGTGGACAGCGATTCAGCCAGGGAGGGCGCCCTATTGCCAATCCCAGAGGAGGGCAACACTAGGAAGTGTAATGACTGGAGAAAATGGATCAGCGAGCAGAAAGATAGACCAATGGGAGTGGAGTCGTTTGTCATGGAGTGCAAGTATATCATAGTTGAGGATGTTGATGTTGAGGATGTTGTTCTTGAGGATGTTGTTGTTAAGGATGTTGACGTTTCTATGAAGATGCAATGCCGTCGTCATGTTGTTTCCGGTGCCAAGGCGCTGGTCCACTTTCATTGCAAGGGGTGTTTGAACTGCTCCTCTCGTCTTTCATCTCATCGTCATCAACATCATCCTTGAGCCTTTGTTTGACAGACTACGCAGATCTCAACTCCCTGTAGCCTCCCGTTCGATAGCACCAAGACTCTCTTCCTAGATATATATGACTTGATAAACTCATGCTACTGCCACAGTGGGATAGTATCCATGGAAAGCCATGTGCCAAATCGGAACTAGAATTTGGAAAGAATGGTTGGGACTGCTACTGGGGATCTCCACGTCTATCGTGACTTCTAGGACATACATACTATCATGACCTATATGCTGTTCGATCGCTGGATCCTCGGCACATTCAGAGCTTTCTGCCACTTCGCAATTTCCTCCGGATACCATTCGATATCCACGCAGCTGCCACTGTCGCCCATCTCAACTTCTCGAGATTCCCAAAAGTCCAAGTGTACCGCCCATACGGCTGACTCTGCATCATCTTCATGAAGCTTGCCCGGTTCCGCGAGTTCTGTCACAGTATTCCGCCAAATCTCTATCCTTGCATTCGGTATTATGATACCCACTTCTTTCTCCCCACTCAAGTGATGACCAGGACACTCGTATTGCCATTCCGGGATGTCGTCTTCCGGTTCAATCACCTCGATGCCAGCGTCTACTGCAGCTGCTTTGGCCTTCATAAGGTTCTCCTCTGCTTCGATCAACGCTCTCGTAGTAAGCCTATCCTCGACTACCCATCGCAAATCAAACTCCTCTGCACTGCTGTCACGGGTTGGTAATCCGTTGAACTCCGCCATACGATGATCTTGCCACTCTTGGTCGCGCCTGTCTCCTCTGGAATTGAAGTGGCGTTCAGCCTCATCGCGAGTCATACGTGCTTTCCAAATAGCGTCATTCATCTCTGAGTCGGCAACCTCTTCAGGGCTTTGAGTAGCGATGTCGTTGATATACATGTTCGGATCTTCGACAGTCATGGGCTCTGGGACATAGTCTTCAGAACCAGCCTCGTTGTCTCCGTACAGTGCCTTGTGGACTTGTTGATACTCCTGTTCCAGGTCGAGCATCTGGATCGGCTCTGTCGGTTCATCTCCAGGCTCTACCAACAAAGCGCGAGTAAATGCTGCGTTCAGGTACTCCATCACTGCGGCATGCCTCTCCAGCAAATCTTCACTACACCATTGGAATTGATTATTCAGTACTTTTTTCCTCATCTTTGTGTTATCCACCAGGATTTGCAGGATCTCAAGCTCGCGACGTAGTGGCGCAATATCATCATCTTCTGATTCCTCGCCTCCGTCTTCAGCGGCGAGGCGGCATTCCTTATCTCCCATCACATCATGCAGCGTGTCCTCGAAACGTTCAATCTCCGCAAGCTGAAGCTCAGTGTGCGTCTGCTTCCTTTGATGCAGGCGTTGCGCTTGAATTGCTTCTTGTATGCGTCCCGAAAGATCAAACTTCAGCATGAGAGCAACACTGATCTTGCCGGCGTCAGGAACTGCCATGAGTCTGCACGGACCATTGGTGTAGTCCTCCTCCGCTTCTTCTACCAATTCGCACTCCTCATAACCACCATCTGTCGGCTCGCCTTCCCGAGCACACCCAGTCGGTTCGTCCAACGGCTGCATACCCTCAACGGGCGCATCTTGGCTCGGATCGTGCGCCGTGTCCTGCTCTACTGAAGGGTCGATTGCCAAAACGTTGGCCTTCGCAGTCTCTTTCCGACTTGTCGAACTTCCATTCTCAGGACGACTTTCGCTGGTGACAGTACTTGGGTGCTTCGCATCAAGTACCAACCCCTCTGCGTCGCAACATTGCTCCGCACCGTTTCCCGGCCGCAAAAATCTCCAGGCGCGGCGTACGTGTTGATTTTGCAGCACATGTGTCAACATAATGTTCGCCGATGCCGAATCCATTGCTCCTTTTAAAGTTGTCAGATTATTCAAGGATGGGAGCATGACCTCGGAATAGTGATCCTCATCTTCAAGTCAGTTGTGCCTGTCACTCGCTAGTTTCAAAGCCGCAAATGCAGAATCATGTCTTTCAACATCTCACCACAAAGAGAAGATGCCTACAAAGGATGCAAGTCTTATCGCCGAATCCAGAAGACACTTCCTGTTACATGTGAGACGTGAGTCTATTCAACTCTCGAGTGGTGTCACGGAGTCCTTTGCTGCTTTTGACCATTATCCTTCTCCCGGAACGCCTGATTGACCGCACCTTCTCTTCTACATATCGAGACAATGCCCGTATTGATCAAGAAGCCATTGGGAGGTGGGACTACCACCAATACTACTCCTAATGAAGATCCGTCGCCTCCCCGGAAAGGACCTGTCTCGTTTGCCGCGGCGGCGAGAGCGGGAAGCTCTGCCCCTGTGCGGTATCCAGTAGGTTCCCAAGCTCCCCACCGGCAACCTGGCAGTCAGGCGCCCAGTGGGATCGATGGTCTTCGTGAGCGTCTTGGCGACATGTCGATAGGTCGTATCGTCACTTACGAACCCACCACGGCGCCGACGCCGAGAATGAATCAAAGCCGTCCCACTACCAATTATCCCCACAGTCAAGCCGCCAGTGTCAAGACCACTGGCACACGCCGCACTACACGCGGCTGTCCACCCATGAACGGTAGAAATGGCAAAGATTGGATCAATACCCCTGAATGCATCAAAGCCCCTTACGGAGCTCACGACTTCAACAAGGGAGATGTTATCTCGGTACCCTTTCACGTCAACAATATGAATCCAGATGCCAAGTTCAGCGACCCTAGCCTCAGGGAAACGGGCGAAGGCCCTGTATATACAAAAAGACGCATGCTCGTGGTTCTCTTCAAATACAAAGAGGGCATGCATTGCCTTCCTCTGTACTCGTTTGGAAGCAGAGGGATGAAGGCCAAATTAACCCCATTTGACACCAGAGACCACTATGTCTGTCTCAGGGACATCAAACATAGTGACTTTGTGAATGAGGGCTCAAATGCGCCTGTCGACTTTGTGCATTCGAATCCATACGATCAGTTGAGCCGCGAAACCACCATACACCTGGCAGGTGGTATAAGGGTACATTGGGAAGAATACATTGGTGTCGTCGGTCGGTTGACAAAGGAAGGTTACCTTCGACTGCTCAAGCATTGGAAGGTTCTACAGCAGGTTGCGGAGAGCGAACCTGCTGGAGGTACCTGGCCAACAGTCCCTGTTCGATAGTCCAGAGCTTAATTGTCGTCCATGCCGTATTTGAGCGTCAAGTAGTCTTATCTAGTTGTGCGAACACAATCGAACAGATTCGCACTAGCTCACTCGTATCGCTATTTACTATCGCCGATGAACAATGCCTTCTACGAGACACTCTCGGTCAGCAGTCTCTGTGATCGCCAGATCTTCCGCGAACTCCAAGAAGATCTCCGTCAACTAGGAGTAGACATCGAAGTCAACGCATTTGAGACGAGATACTGATATGAATAGAAGCATCAATATGTGAGGTATGTAAAATATTACAGTGACAGGATGGCGTCCGCTAAGCTGTACATTGCGCAATATGTTTCACTGCGTAAGACAGGAGGATCTAGTCCACCGATCATGGACTTACGGCACCTCTACAACATGCATCAGAGTTTCACGAAGACAAGTCCCATATCCTTGCTAGTGTCTCTCTGCCTGGCTATTCTCAATAAGTCTACGGACAACATCCGTAAGGTAGACTCTGCTTCGCTCCGAAAGCTGGCCGACAAGAGCAATGTCCTCCTGATAATTAACACGAAAGCCTCCTGAAGCATGTACACAGCACTTGCGATCAAAGGGTCGGACCATTTTTGCTTCTAGCACTTCATTCAGGCCTTCCTGCTCATACGAGGCACCGTTTCCAAAATTGGTGATCTCCACGTACTCATGCTGCAGGTATTCAGGCTGCTTTGTGATTCCCTTGCTGTTCCAGCTATAGAGAGGCAAGCAAATCATGTCCGTGGCATGTCTCCAAAGCACAACGGCCAAACGACGCTTGGAGTACACGGGACCTTGAATCGTTATCGCGAGACATTTGTCTTCCAGGGTAGCTTYCTCGTTCAGGTTTACTGTGTGGAAAGGCAATGTTATGACCATGCCTTTCGCAAAGCTCTTCCTCTGATGTGGAGATTTGACACACAGATCCGTCCTGATCCATTGAGCTGGTCGACCCTTGTCGTCACGCACGGATAGCTGAGTTGGTGCTTGGCTTCTTGTGGGTCGATACTGCATTGACAGCTGTGATGCGCCGGGGGCATTAGAAGGATCCATGGACGTCCTACCGATGCCCATCTGGCCGAAACGATCTGTAAAGTTCTGCTCTTGGTTCACGGTTGATGAAGCACGTAGCTTCTTCCCAGCAACACTCCATGCATTAACGGTATCGTTCTCGCCGAGGGTCGAAAGTGTTGGCCCCATCACAGTCGATTTGACCCGTTGTCCTGTGCCGACTGCTGGTCTGGAAAGATTTCCCATCGACGCGGTCGCGCCATTGGGTTTCAAAGTAGGCATTTCGTACCCGCAGCTTCAGTCCCGTGTTGCGGTGGTGGTCGCAGGGCGGTTCTGAAACGAGCTTGGGAGTCGACCAACTAAGAAAAGGGGAATTATCCATTGCATTGAAATGATTCCATTCATTGTCTGAGCGATCTCCCGAAGCGTTGACGCCGGTCTTGGAACAATGAGGGTCGCTGGACGAGGGATTCGGCTTTGTCTGCATCGGCCATGATTTGGTTGTCTCGGGTGCGGCTACGCCACAAATGATCAGTAATTTTCGGTCCTCTCACTTTTTGTTGACGGAATAGAATCGCAGCATTGCTCTTCCTGAAAGTATGGACGGCTTTGGCGTTAACCTGGTTCAGAAAGCCCAGAATTCAGCTCTCCGGCGATGGTTCAACAAGCAGAAGTCAACACCAGCTCAGATCGACGGTGTGAAACATGAGCCCATTGAAGCAAGTCGTCCCGTTGCAGACCATGAAGCAGCGAAAAGCTCGAGTCATGAGGGGAGTGAAATTGAAGTGGTGGATGGCTGCGCAGCTCAGCATCGCCCGGGCCATCGAGACCAGGAGCCCACACCCGCTGGTGACATGCATGAGCAATTTACGCCCGATGACATGCTACCGCTGAGTGTATCAGACCTCGACCAGCCATATTTTCAGCCAAACGGAACTCTATGCGAAAGATTGGGAATTGGGCAGGATATCCTCACTGCAGATGTGGACGCAGCTGAATACACCGATTTCGCTGGAGGTATCTTCAATGGCTTCGACAGTATCAAGAAGTGTCCAGTTCTACTTTTGACCTATGAATCGACACTCAGCATACCAAAATTGCTGCGTTTCCAGAGGGAAGTATTGAAGCAAGAGCGACAGGCACATGCCAAGCTGGAGTCCCTTTCAGATTATGAAATTGCTCTCGCCAATGAGATACGAAATCACAAGTCTCTCCTTGCTCAATATACCGAAGACGATAAATCTACTGCAGGTACTGCAGAAGAGCCCGACCGCACAGAAAATCTACAGCAAGAGCTGGATAACCTGGAACGTCTGTTGAAGGGTGCGGAGAATAGGAGAGGTACCATTGAAGCCAACTTGAGAAGGCGTCGGAATCTTCTGCAAGTGTATCAAACGGACGTCAACCAATTCCTGGAGGTAGCTTTTCTCGGCGCTCAGGCCATTGAAGCGGAAAGCGACGAGGACGAGGAGGTCGCCGAAGTCCCCGAGATCAGCGTGAAGGAGGAATACCAGAAGCTACTGGCGCAGATGCAGGAGATCAATGGAACGCAAGTGACGGAGGCACCGGTGACACTAACGCCCCACACAACTACCGATATCTTTGCGGACACACAGACCAACAAGCGGAGTCCAGAGCAGCAAGCTCGCACAGAGGCTAGCAAGGCGTTATGGGAAGCCCGTGAAGACCTTCAATACGCGCGTGTTCAATTCGAGCAGCGAAACGAGACCCGCCAAAGAGAGCTCAATGACACCATAGCACTAGAACTCCGCGGAGAGCCCGTTCCGTTCAATTCGGTGGAAGAATTTGACCTCCATTGGATCCAACGCTTCCGAGAAATCACTCAAGAACTACAAGCTGCGGAGGAAGGCCTGTCTCGAGCACAGGCTGCTGCGAAGACCGCGGGCCCGGCATTGGAGTACGAGAATCAATCATCGTGCTTCCCAGATGATCCAGCCGATGGAAATGCTGAACTGATGAGCAACGAGAATGACAGTCCAGAGGTGTTTGCCGGAGATCCGAGAATGATTGCTTGGATGGATAGTCTCGCTCATAGTGGAGATCCAGACTTTTGTGAACCGAATGAGGTGGATAAATGGGGTAGCGGGGAGGAGGTTGACTGGTGTGATAGTGCAAGTGCGGTGGCTTGTGGATCGGAGCGTAAGCGGATTGACGCCTGGAAGCGTTCTAATAGTATCCTATAACCAGTGTGATGGCGAAGTTTCCGATCACTGTGTTGTTGGCGATACTCTCATGTTCCTGCAAATGCGAGGCAAGTCATCAACACAAGCTCGGCCTGTCAGTTTCCCATCCTATGGCGAAGTGAGTTTTTGATGGTCGTATGTAGTCAGCCGAGGACAATGCCATCCAAGATCTTGGAGGCATTCCTTCCTTTGGCAAGATGAGACGTCGATATCTGTGTCTGTGCCTTTCAAGTCTAGTGTTTAGGCAAATGATGCCGGTATCCAAGGTGATTTTGAGAGGAAGAGAGTGGGCAGATGATGTCCTCTCCGCACAGACCAGTTCCATCTCCCGGACCCTCCCTCCCGTCCTCGCCTCACTTCATCTCTTCACCTCACCTCATCTTTTTACTTCACCTCATCTCTTCCCCTCTTCGTCTCCTCTTAATCACTCACTATCATCATCGGCATTCAAAGCATCACACAGACCGGAAAGTCCACAAATTTCTCGCACAAGGCCGATGAAGTCGATGAGGTCAAGCCACAAGGTAATGGCTGAGCGAACTTTGACAGGCTTTTCGACACGCACATCCATGACACCCAACAAAGCATGGATGACTAGCTCTATAGACTATTCGAACGACCCTCTCGCCACGTCTTCGATTGCACTGGAGCATCACTCCGCCGAGATGGCTCCGATCTTGTTGCAATCACATTCTGCCCCTCCGTGCCGTTCAACGGATATCTCTGATACTCCCGCCTCGAATTGCAGCACTTCACCGCAAACAAATCGAATCCAGCCTCCTCCACCGCCTTGGTTGCTTCCCTCAGCTTGTCTTCCAACACATTCAAGGCGTCTTGGGCCGAATCGACGTGCTTCCTCCAGAGGCCGATGAGATGGTCATAGCTGGCGTTCTGAACTGGCTTCCCATCAGGCTCCTTGCTGCCAAGATCAAGCCACTCTTGATCGTAAAAGTCATAGTCCAATGTCAGTTGCACGTCAGCGGCGTTGAATTCCTCCCTCACTGAATAATATGCCTCCAAGATCACATCTAGCTCCTCAGTTTTCGGGTCGGTATACTGGTGCAGCTTCTTCGGCTCCCTACACCACAAATAATCATCCGGGCCAAACAGCTGATCGTACGCCTTCCAATACTCGTCCTGGAAGTTGTAAAACTTAGCAGGGGACCCACCATCAAGCTCCTCAGGTTCCCACAACCTCGCGCGTATGAATGCCTCCTCAATCTGCTTCATGACCCTGAGGTGGCACCTTCGCAGGCCAGCGGCGTCGTACTTCAGTTGAAGTTCCATTTCTCTCTCCTCATCATCCACGTTCTTGCCCATACGCCACATGACGTCCTGATCGATTTCATGATTCCGTTTATCTTTCGGCCTCCCCTCTACCCAGGGATTACTCAAACCTCGATCCGTGACGGAACGCAGTCCAGCTCCTGGGGTTCTCTTCTCGTTGAGCAGCATCACTTGGAACTGGTGAATCTCGCACTCTTTGTTCTCGGCCCAGTTCTCATGAGCAAGGTACAATCTTTGTCTGTCAAGAACCAGCTTGATGCTTTGAGACAAATCTGCCCTCAGCAGGAGTGCAAGGCAATTCCTGATTCCGTCGTTTGCGCCGATCAGTCTTGCAGGTCCGTCCGTATAGTCGGTGTACTCCTCTTGTCTCACAGTGACGTAGTATGGATCTCGCAGCGCCTGCTCTCGCTCAAGCTGAATCTGGTGTAGCCGTTGTTCATCGGCAATCTGCTGCTGGCTTGGCTGGCTTTCACGCTGGCGATCCTCGCTTTCGCCGACTCCAGTTCCATCGACATCATTCTGCGCCGTACTGGATGTGTCGAGTACCCCTGGCGTGGAATCGATGAAACAAGGACCGCGTGTCGCTGTCGAAGGACCAAGTTGTTGAGAAGTACCGCAGTCGGGCGTCTCTTGGGCGATGTCGATACTTTCCGCTAATGCCGTCCTCTCGGAACTCGATTCGCGCGGTTGTTCGTGATCCAGCTCGTTGCCTTGCCAGAAGCGCTTCCACAATGCTTGACGAACTGCCCTCTCAGCCACGATGAGATTGATCGCATTCAACATGGTGAGTCTGTCTCTTGGGTTTCTTGATCTCCTGACTTTCAGACAAAGATTGAACTTTTGAGATGTTGTTGGAAAAGGAGCAGACAAAATGAAGCCTAAGAATCCAGAAGCGGAAAGCTTGAACAAAGCGACTGCCGATTCACTTGACTTCTTTGTTGGCATCAAGATTATTCACTCAGATTCTAGCTTTCGATCAAGTGGTGTTCCACAAGACTCTCCTATCGCACTACGGAATCGCCAACGTCCCAGCTTCACAGCTGGAAGAGACAGATTATCACATACTCCTCACACCACCATACATATACTAATCTTTCGGTCGGTATGGGTTTCGATTCGCCTAACAGTTCAAATGATTCCAGGTCATCTGGTAGGAGTATACAAAGCAGAATTACAGCAGGGCCGCCTCCTGTGTTCGGAACGTTGGTTCCAGTAGCACCATCCACTTCTACAGCTGGTGGTGGTAATGGCGCTCCCCAACCCACATCAGATCCATTCACAACAAATCCTGGCCCATCTAGCCAGGCGAATAATTTACAGGCCTCGACTCAGGATCCCGCCCCACAGCAAGTTGATGATAGTGTTGTTCAAGGAGATCAAACAGGGGCTTTATCGAACTCTTCTGGAGCCTATATACCCCCGCACCTAAGGACAGGAACACAGAGTCGCACTCAAGACTCAGTCCAGGCTTCTCACCCGCCTCCGAATGGCAGAAACAACAGAAGACCACGTGGACGTAGACAGCCGTGGGGCGATAGGGGGGGTCATGGCCCAAATAACCCCCGAGGAACCGGCTCTACGGACGTGAATAATGGTTTTACTAGAAATCCATTTCCCGTACGAGACCCTGGCAATAGCCCCTTTACCGCTAATTCCACATGGGACAGAAATCGGTTTCTCAAGGGCGATGTCATCTCCATACCGTAAGTACAGATGATGGCAGGTATCAACAAGAAGGCTTCTATGCATGCCTGCGCTGCCGATCCTTGAGAGAATGCGCCTCAAAATCCACATCTGTCTGCCCTGAGTTTCAAGACACTGCTGACATTATCATGCTTCGATTTCAGGTATCACGAGCCGAACGTGGACCCTAATTTAACGCTCAACGATGAGCCAGGCAAGACATGTCTCCGCTCAACAAACCAGGGATATGTATTCACAAAACGACGCATGTTTGTGATTCTCTACAAACACAAACAAATCATGGTTTGTCTGCCATTGACGTCCAAGGGCAGTCGGGGACTCGCCTCCATTCCCACCCCCTTCAGGAACGAGAGTGTTTGCCTTTGGGATCGTGGAGCGCCGGATTACGAATCCTTCGAACCCCAAGGCCAGTACAGTCCGATTGAATTCAACAAACTCTCCCGTAACTCGGATAGTCTCGGATCTGACACTACCATCAACCTGACCAAAGTCGTGTCAGCTTCATGGCAACTCGATATGTGGCATGTGGGGAGATTGACAAGGCTCGGATACAACAGAATCATGAGATACCGCAAAGTATTAGTCGATGCTGCCGAAGCGGAGGCTCCTCTTTGGCTGGAACGAGATGGTCCAGCAACAACTCCCTGAGTGGAACCAAGCTATGTTATCTGGACATCACGTTCATATTGCTCAGCTCATCTTCATCTCGGGCAACGCATCTCGCATACTATATGATTTACATTCTATGTGTCCTCAATCAATCTGATTCGCGTTCAGATACGTGCTTCTCGTCGCTCTTCCGCTGAAAGACACGATGTCGCGAGGATGCATTGAGGCAAGCCAGCAAAAAACTCCTCTCTACCACGCACATCGACGTTGGAGATGCAACAAAGGGCTGGAGAATTCACGCGCAGTTCTTTCAACTCCTTTGTTCGAATGGACACAAATCCGCTCACAAACGTTGGAATGCGYTCCTTTGTTCTGCTTGACATGCGATCCAAGAGCGGCAACAATATCCTTTGATTACCACCAATTCTTTCATCGCGCGGGCGAGTCTCATGGGCTGTTCGGATATCGTCGAAGGACTCTGCGGTCGTCCAAGGCTAAACACGTTTGGTCTGTGTTCTATCTATATACTCGACACCCAAGCAACACTACCGCGGAACGTCCCACTCCTTTGATTGTTCTGCAAACTTGATCGAAATGGCAGAGCCAGGAGGCAACCAGCGTGAGCGATCGCGATCCCGATCCCGGTCTCGAGGGCGCGGTGAGCAACCTATAGGCCAAGCAGACCCCTCGACAGCTGCAGATGTCGGCACAACGAGCCTGAACGCCGGAGCTGCTGGTTCCCAAGCATCGTTGCCCAACCCAGGTCCAGCACAAAATCCGGACCCAGCCATGTTCGACACGGGCCTTGCACTTCGATTTAGGGTCCTTACCCAGCCATATCAAAGGCAGACCCAATATCCGCAGTGGATGGATCCTGACCTCTTGCGGCCGACAACGTGGAATGACAGACCAACTTACATCAAACCCGAGGCMACATGGGCGACATACAACCCGGGCGATGTAATCTCCAGCCCCTGGCACCTTCCAAATCTGGACGGTAGCTTGAAACGAGACGACCGGCTACTCACCGAGACTGGCGTTCCCAGCGGATACCTAATCGGTAACCTAACAACCAAATGTTGGATATATTCCAAGCCGCGGATGTTTGTTGTGCTCTACAAACACAGCAGGTCGATGACCTGCCTTCCGATCTACAGTAATAGGAACCAAGGCTTCAGCAAAATCGATCTCAACCGCTGGGGCGAGTACGTGTGTATTCGAGACTTGCATAATCCGAACATCAATTCGCGGGGACATTATCCCGCTGTCGATTTTGTACACCTYAGTGGCAACCCTCGTGACGCACTCTTACCAACTAGCACCATCCACCTGACCGCTAGCACTTCCATATCCTGGGAAGAGGAACGCATCAGGCAGATAGGCCGCGTCACACGAATGGGTTTCCAAAGGCTGTTCAACGCCTACAATAACGCCATCTCGGATGCATATAATCAGATAGATGTGACGTCAATGCCTTCCATCCCCGACTGGGAATCGCCCCGGTCACGCGATTATCGATTGCGAGGCGATGGGATCTATTGATACAAGAGGATAGATCGATGTAGGGAAGCTTGTTGTACATGTGGCCGTGGTGGCCTTTGAAGGGTGTCATTGGCCGAGACTGGAGGGAGTAGACCGAGCAAAGATGATTTGGCCAAGGGTAGTAATCAAGCGGCAAAGTCCAAGCCGTCGAATTGAATGTCATTGTTTGTACTGTTTGGGGAGCTTCTCAGCGTGTTGACAAGTGACTGGTGACTGATGACTGACGGGAAGATGTGAGGTGGAAAGATGATGAGCGCGAGGATCACGCGCTATAGTGCGACCAGTGCTACAATAAGCCTAGCGTGTCAAGGTTGTTTATCGACAAGGATTGGAAGGCTTCAAACAAATCCATCAACACAAGACAACCCAGCACCGTCCATTCTCGTCGCTGCAATGACAACTCGCACCGCACTCGGGTCGCGTGACGTCGGCGATTCCAATGGAGGTATCGTCGCCGCGGCGGAAGGGCGCAAGGAATCGATGGTGTCGCGACTCCCGGCTGCCGTGCGCTTCCCACTGGCCGTTCTGGTGTCCTTTGGCTTGAGCGCAACCCTCCGCTCCCTCACCGCCGAACTCATCGGTCCCGAGCTCGCCGCCGTCAGCCGAGACCTGACGGAGGGATGGCAAATCGGGGCAATGTTTGCTTGGAAGGTGGCCGAGCTCGCTATTGCGTGGTACGCTTGCTACGACTGTAAGTGGGAAGACGCGATGTTCGGGCGTTCAACACGCAGACACTGACGTATGGCACACAGACGTCGACCTGGCATACCTATCTCTCCTCAACAACGTCCCGTACTACTTCCTCCTCAACACCTTCTTCGGCGTCGACTACCTTGCAACCGCGATTCCCATGGTCATCGACGTGACTGCCCTGGCAATCCCATTTGCTTTTCTTAGAAGCCTGAACTACGCCCGCAGAGGCGGCCAAGTCAAGAATGCGAACCAGGCAGTCGCTCAGGATAGAGGCGTCCAATACCTGATCGCAGCATTCGGCGCATCAATCTATGCCATTGTCGTCTATGGAAGCTTCACCACCTGGCTGCCCACATACATGATTGTACACTTTGATGGGCTTCGCAGTCTCGAGAGGGCCCACAACACGGGAATATTACTCCTGCTGGCTTTATTCGGTCCTCTCGGGTATGCAGCGACTCAATTCATCTTTGTGCCGGCCATTGGATCGCCTGGAAACCCTGGCATCACCGATCCTGCTCTGAAGCCCGGAAAAGTTGCTTTCGACCCTCAGACAGCTACCATTGGACAGACCGTCGCATGGAACCTTGGACTTGGCGAATCCGGGCTTACTCACAGGGGAGAGATTCTTCTCAAGCGCACGGCAACACTAGCAGCATCATCATTCATCAGTAATTTCGTTCGCTCATATGTCATCATCGAAGGCACCGAGTTGCTGGGTGCTCTCGGCTGGGCCAGTGTGTGGGGAAGCGCTGCAGCATTGGTGGGTCTTGCGTATGCGTGGGTTGGTAACGAGTGAGTGTCGAGGAATTCGGAGACTCGCAAGTGTAGGACTAGCAGTAGGAAGAGCAGCCGTTTGGCCATTCGTGCGATATACCCTTGCAAAGATGCGAAATTTAAGACTTTTCAAACTACATGCACATGACATTTGGAGCAACTTCTTCGGCGGATTACTTTCAACTTTTTGTCTCACACGTCAAATGCAGCGTTTAACATCTCCCAAACTCGAGAATCTGTCTCAATGGATCGTCGATGAATTGGTTCCAATCTGAACCACGTTGATGAAGACCTCTGCACCTCGCATTGGCCTCCGATCGATCTGCCGAGAGTCTGCCATCGAGTTCACGCCTGCCATTACATTTCGAATGTATCACTTTCCTCATCAACATCGTCAACGTCATCTAACAGGCCCACTCTGACCCATGCATGCCATGTAGGTACACATCTTCATTTTCATCCTGAGCACGCGAGTATTTCTGCCTCTGTGTCACCACCACATCWAGATGAAAAACTTCCTAGGCCGCGCCAAAGCAGCCGCTCAAAGAACCCTACCAAACAACTTTGACGGCACTGCAGACAGACCTTCTGTGATTGGTCCTCCTACTCTGGCAGATGTCACCTACTATCGCTATGCACACGGAGTGAACCTGGGATCTGTTTTCGTGCAAGAAAAGTGGCTGACTGGCGCCTTCTATCCCGAAACCTGCTCTGGCACCTCGGAACTTTCAGCCGTCACGGATTGGTTCAAGAGGGAAGGGCTTGAAAAGACGCGAGATCGATATCAGAAGCATTGGAAGGAATATGTGAGCGATGCTGATTTGGACTGGCTTCGAGATGTTGCCAAGTGTAATTCTGTGCGGCTCCCCATAGGCTACTTCACCCTTGGGCCGGCTTATTGTCATGATACGCCTTTTGAGGAGGTTTCGTTTGTGTATCAACATGCTTGGTATGTTGTTCTTACTCCTTCTTTGCCTTTTCACTCTTTTTACTGATATGCTACAGGGACTATGTGAAGCTCCTGGTCAAACGCTGCCAGCAACGGGGCATCGGGACCCTCTTGGACTTTCATGCTCTACCCGGTGGAGCCAACTCTGGAGATCACAGCGGAACTGACAGCGGAAAGACTGAATTCTGGAAGCGAAGGGAGAACAAAGCTCTGGCAACGCGATGTCTGTGCTTCATTGCGCATCAAGTCGAGAAGATGGAGGGAGTTGCTGGTATTCAGCTTGTCAACGAGWCGGAAACGAATGCGCCGGGAATGTATGAGTGGTATGAAAGCGTTCTGGCAGAGTTCAGCAAGATCAATCCTGCCATTCCAGTGTACATCTCGGATGCTTGGGATCTTGAGAAGGCCGTTCAATGGAGTCTCAAGAAGAATACGTCGTCTTCACGTGGGTGTCCGGTGGTGATCGATACACATCTCTACTGGTGAGTTGCCATGTAATCCCAGCTGAACGAAGCATTGCTGACCACATGATGAATTTACCTAGGTGCTTCACCGATGGTGATGGGCAGAAATCTCCCCAGCAGATTACAGGCGAGGTCTGGAGCAAGCTCCGGGAGCTCGACGGCAAAGAAGGAAAAGTTGTCGCAAATGGAGCCGTCCAGCTGATTGTCGGAGAATATAGCTGCGTCCTCTCCGACAAGTCATGGCAGCTGAGTGTGAATGATCCCAAAGACAAGCTTGTTCAGCAATTCGGTCACGCCCAATCGCAGAGATACCAGCAGCGTGCAGGAGGGTGCTACATGTGGACATACCGTATGGACTGGATGCCGGGAGGGGAATGGGGCATGAAGCAGATGACCGAGCAGCTCGCCATCATTCCGCCACCAGCTCTCACTTTAGGCATCGAGGAGATTCAGAATCGGATCAGCCACGCGCAGTCTCAATTAGATGGTCGAAGAGGCAATGCCTTCGGATCACATTGTCAGTACTGGGACAGCAAATTTCCAGGCCAGTATGAGCATTGGCGGTATGAGCTCGGATATGGCGTTGGATTCTCCGATGCAATGACATTCTTCGGGATGCGGAGTCGGAGTCACCTGCACGGCGCAGACAAGATTGGTATGCTGGAGCTTTGGGTGTTGAAGAGGATTCGGGATAGTGGACAGGGTGGAAATTGGGTCTGGGAATATGAGGAGGGCCTCAGACAGGGCATTCGAGGTTTCTATGAGTGCGTTGGGGTGTGATGTATTCATCGAGGAGTAGACCTGTGTACAGATGAGCAAATCAAATGATGGACGCATGAATGCGACAGCCTTCCATATTCACAAGCACAGGTAGTAGGCCCGTGATGACGGAGATGGAGTAAAGTCCCCGGACCGGCGAAGGGGAGAAGTCGATGGCGCCTACCGGTTCTGCCCCAGCCGCGCCACTTCTTAGGCCTAATTTATGCTTATTATACATTCGGGCCATCCCTCCCCTAGTATAGGCAAATATCGGAACGCTGCCGAGCGGGCCAACAATTAACAACAACTGACTGGGGCCACAACACCACATCTGTTTTGCTATCCTTTCCTCGTGCTCGCACACGCCATCCCCTGAAGGCAGCTGGTCGATCTGGAGAGGGAAGAAGAGGTTCCTGCATCAGATTGCTGAGTGGCTGAAAGCGGTACCACCCACACGACCGCACCCCGCGCCGCCAAATCCCCAGCAACTTGACTTGGGAGCAGCCCAGCATAAGTTAGGCGCAGGCACTGCACTGCCATCCAGCCTGCACCCCCGACATCAGACGACCACCCCCTCCCCACAACAACAATGGCGCGCGCCCGCCGAGCCCAGCGCACCTCGAGTGCCTCATCCAGCAGCTCCTCCTCCACCTCACCCGACCGCGGCGCCGACGACGACAACGACTCCTTCATGCTGCAGGCCAACGACTCCCAGTCCTCCCTCGGCGCCGAAATCTCGCAGGATCTGGCCCGCAACGCTGCCATGCGCCGCGAATACGAGGAGCGCTGCCGCGTGTCACCCGTGCACCGCCTGCCCGCCGAGTTGCTCATCAGCATCTTCTCCCGCCTCACTTCGCCGCGCGACCTGCAAAACTGCTTGCTGGTGTCCAAGGACTGGGCACGGAACAGCGTGGGCTTGCTGTGGCACCGGCCGGCCATGGGCAAGTGGGACAACATCCAACGCGTCATCCTGTCCATTCGCTCCACCAACAAGTTCTTCGCATATCAAGATCTGGTCAAGAGGTTGAACATGTCGACCCTGGCTACTCAAATCAGCGACGGCACCCTCTCCGGCATGGAGGACTGCAAGCGGGTGGAGCGCCTGACGCTGACCAATTGCAGCAAGCTGACCGACTCCAGTCTGCAGCCTCTGTTGCATGGAAACCGAAGTCTGCTCGCTTTGGATGTCACTGGTCTCGACCAGCTCACCGACCACACCATGATGACCGTGGCAGACGAGTGCCTCCGACTCCAAGGGCTGAACGTGACAGGGTGTAAGAAGATCTCGGACGCTTCCATTGTCGCCATGGCGAGGAACTGCCGTCATCTGAAGCGTCTCAAGTTCAACAACTGCACGCAGTTGACCGATGTTGCCATTCTCACAGTCGCCGCACACAGTAGCCATCTGCTGGAAATCGATCTATACGGCCTACAAAACCTGCAGAGTCCATCCGTCTCGGCTCTGCTCACGTCATGCTCCCATCTTCGCGAAATGCGTCTGGCGCACTGCTCTCGAATCAACGACTCCGCCTTCCTCAACAACCTTGAAGGTCGGCGTACCTTTGACTCTTTGAGAATTTTGGATCTTACCGACTGCAACGAGCTTGGAGACAAGGGTGTCGAGATGATTGTCAAGAGCTGCCCGCGACTTCGGAATTTGATTCTGGCAAAGTGCAAACACATTACCGATCGCGCCGTCCTTGCCATCACCAAGCTGGGTAAGAATCTACATTACATACATCTCGGCCATTGTGCACGCATCACAGATCTTTCGGTGGAGGCTCTGGCAAAGTCATGCAACCGTATACGGTACATTGACCTGGCATGCTGCAGTCTGCTCACCGATATCAGCGTCATGAAGCTGGCAGGTCTGCCAAAACTGAAGAGGATCGGGCTAGTCAAGTGTGCTGGCATCACCGACCGGAGTATCTACAGCTTGGCGGTGGGTGAACTAAAGAACGGGCGGAAGGTGAATGGGGTTAGTGTCCTGGAGAGAGTGCATCTCAGTTACTGCACGTTGCTCACACTGGATGTAAGTCATGTCTCACGTCTATCCTGTTGATATCTACTAACAAAACATAGGGCATTCACGTTCTACTCAACAACTGCCCGAAGCTCACCCACCTGAGCTTGACCGGCGTGCAGGCCTTCTTGCGCGAGGAGCTTCTCGCATTCTGCAGAGAGGCTCCGCCGGAATTTAATGAACATCAGCGGGACGTCTTTTGCGTCTTCTCCGGCACGGGAGTTGCACGCCTGCGCGAATTCTTAAACGACCAAAAGCGGCGAGAGGAAGCCCTGGGCCCCGATTCGGTGGCATCGTCAGCAATGGAAGACAGCGACATGGTGGACGCAGATATGGACGACCAGAGCCCCGATTCTGATGGTAGCAACACACCGGTGCTCAATGTCGATGTTCATGGCCATTACCCTGCCGGTGGGACCCCTGTCGCCGGTCCCAGCACCATCTTGCCGTTTCCGCCAGCCCCACCCATGCACCATGCTCCCACGCAGCATAATACACATCTCTCCATCCTCAGTCAGAGCGCACCTGCGACTACTGGAGTTGCTGTCTGGGCCGGCAATACGGCGCCGTTGATTGTCCATGGCGTGGGCAGCACTACCATCTTGGACGAGGACGAGGACGGTGAGGAGACGTTTGGTGAGGGCAGCGATACGATGGGCGACTAGACACTGCCTCTGAACTGAACCTGTGATGACCGCTCTGTTGATGTCTGGCATGTGCAGAGTTCACTGTGTAGAGTTTTGTGTGTTTTTGGGGGAGCATTGCTTTTTTGGTTCGATATCCACACTGGTTGAAGCGAGAGACTGGCATGCCTTACCTGTAAAGGTATTTTCAAGGCCGCCTGTTCTTTGCTGGCGTTTTGTTTTTTTGGGGATGGCTCAACGAAGATAGGATTACGGCAGAGATTTCGTGTCCCGAGGGACACTTGATATAATGCAATGGGCATTGCCTTTTGACACCTACCATCCGTTTCGTGCGATGTGTGCCTCCCTCGCTCGTATTTGTCTGTGCCTTATCAAGTGCAAAAATCTAGCTGCAAGTCGTTAGCAAGCCGGCATGTGAAAGGTTCATGCTCAATTTTGAACATGCTCTCAAAATGAGAGTAACATCGTTTGAGTATCAATTTGCTAGTTCAATCTATCCTAACAATTCGAGGTCTAAGTGGCGGCGGTGCTAGGCTCTATCTCATCAAACAAGCAGCAACAATGACCCCCATCTCCTCCAACCGATGCCAATGTGGATACTCTCCCTCCACTCATCCAGTAGCAAGCACAATTCTGAATCTATCCGCGAGCAACCTCAACGTCGTATCAACTTTCGGTGCTACGAGTGGCTTACTCGCATCCGCAGGAGCACTGCTCGTACTTCCATCAACATCCTTGACGCTTTGACTCCCTCCATATCGAACCGGTCCATTGAAAGTCGCGGGCGTCACGGGCGTCTTGTCCATGAGTTGCTGCCAGCGCGCAAGATATGCTCCCGGACCAAAAGGGGTCGAATGCGTGCGTTTAATCACAGCGCTGATGCGAGCTGCAGATGCCGCACGCAAATCATCAATGTACTGGTGATGCGCCTCGAGCTCTGCTATAATTTCCCTACGATCCGAATCCGACAGAGCGGCGACTTCGGCTTCGAGGGCTTGTTTCACGCCTCCCATTGCCATTTTGTCGGAAATGACGGCTTTGCTCGGAGGAGGCTTGTCGTCGTTTCGGAACTGCTGTGCGGCTGTGTGGGCGTATTCTTGCCACCATGACACCATTTCTTTGCCGTTCTTGGCCGCTTGGTGCAGGAACTTGTGGACGCTGCTTTGGTGTCGATGGAGGAGGTCTACGAAATCTTCGACTGTCGCGGGCTGTTCTTGGCCCTTTGCGCCTGTGGGCTTGGCAGTTTTCTATGCATCATCAGCCGGGTGCAATTTTCCTCTCCTTTCAATCACTTACCAGCACGTCGGTTAAGAAGCGTTCAAAGTCCCACAGTGTATCGCTCAGATTCACAGCCTGATGGACATGGCGTATCATTGGCGTGTATGCCTCGACACCTTGTCTCACAGCCGCCGTTAGGATGTCAGGATTACGTTTGCACATGACCCGAACGATCTCTGTGCGATCTCGAATGGCCAGTTGTAGGGAGAGATACTCCATCGCCTTCTCGTGTTGCGATGTCGAAAGCTCGACTGATAGGGACGACAATGACAAGATGACTCCCACGATTGACATGTCCTGTGCCGTACTGCTCGCGCGACATGCTTCGTGCTCCGCACGGCTTCGTTGGATCCAATCTTTCAGCTCATCGCGAACTTCTTTGGGAGGTGCATCTTTGTCCTTTWCGATCTTTTCCGCGCGTTTCCTGAGCTCCCGTTTGTCCCAGCCGAGCACTTGAGAGATGATTCTATGTCGATGAGTACACATCTTGGGGCAGGAATGTCAATCTGTCACTCACTGCTGCATCAAGTTCATGCCTTCGTCGGCTCCACTACTCAAACCCATCCAGTTTGTGACGCTCGATATGCTGGCTTTGGCCAGTACCACCCGCACCAAACCGCTGAGCATCGTCGCGACGTTTCCAATTTTGAGCGTCTGTCGCATTACCATATAAGGCAAGAGGTTGTGCACGCTCTCCATCATGCGAACGAGACTAAACATCGCAGGGTCAGTAATGTGAGACATCCACGCCKTTTGCTTGACCTACGTTGCGCCCTCAGGCGAAAGTACTAATGCGTAGTGCATGATTGAGGCAAGACTGCTTCAGTTAGTAAGAATTTCCTGCGTGAGATCTCTGACGTCCATACTTTACAAGAATGAATTCGTGCACTGCAAGAGGAGGATGTAAGCCACACTACTGCATTGATCATGCTTMAACACCCGAGTATACGTACTGCCTTGAACCACGGATTCGTGCTGTGACAAGTCCTCCGTCTCCGCAACCCGTTTCACCAGTCGATCGATCAAATCACCATACACCAGTTCTTGCACACAGTCCTGCCAAGCAGCATGCACATCCTCGGGGTTCGATACATCATAAGTGCGGGAACTGTCAATCTCCTTTCGTGGAAAATCCAAGATACCTCGTGCGGGGTATTCGATCAAAGCTGCAATTGCGGTAGCAAGAGTCTTGCGGATTCCCAAAACGCCCTTGTCGTAACTCTCGCTGAGCTCCGCTTCAGACAGCTCTTGAATCAAAGGCTCGATGTGGCCTTTCCAGAATTGCTCCGGCACATCGCGGAGACCAGGCAATTTGAGAACGAATTTTGCCAGTAGGGATTGCAATATAGGAGCTTGTGGGGAGGGTATGTCGTCTTGGAAAGGAGGTCCGTAATTGTAGATTGCTCCAGGAGCTTTGAATTCTTCAATCTCTTTATAGGTCTCGTAATGACTGAGAACATCCAAAAGGTCGGTCAGCTGGACGGCTGTAAGGCTATTGCTCTCCGATGCCATGGTCGCGGTTCACGAAACCCGGAGTAAAGGTATCAATATGATATGGAGTTTGGCCTTTTGAAGATCCAACGTGCACAGGACAGGCTAGAGAGAGAGCTGGTGGTGATGACGTAGATTGTGCGTCTGGGAAGGACCAAGATGTGGTAATTGCAAGTAAATAGTGCTAAAGCAAGTCCAAATGCCAAAAGTTTCGCTTTCGTAGGTCCTCCGGGACGACAACGTGGCGGGACACGTGAGGGAGTGAGGTCCGGTGATGGCGAGAGACGGGAGTCAAGTCTGGTGATGTCGTTCGGCTGCTGCAGGATGATGAAGATGCTTTTCGCGCTGGACAATCGTACCAACGCTTGCCGTGTCCAGTTTCTGTGACGATGTGCGAAATTCCACGCCCGCCGGCCATTTGCTGGGTCGGAGCAAGACCTGCCATCATCATCTTCGCCGCTGGTGTACGAGCTAGATGCGGCTGGTCCGTGCGCATTTCTTCGCCGTCAAATTCCCAAACGCGAGATGTTGCAGATGACCTTCCACAATGGCCGACGATATTGTATCACCAGATGCTGCTCCGCGTGCGCGCAAACTGTTGGATCCAAGCGAGCTGGGAACCAAAGAGTAGTATGTATCATGCTCGTTAGCCATGACATGCATTTGTGAAGTACAGCTAAAGGGTAATGCAGCTGGGAAGCAGCCTATGTCCGAGAAATTGAAAATCACGAGGGAGACGCCGATGATGAAGGCATCGTTTGGTTCGACGAAAGCAATGCAGAGGACACCGTTTTGAAGAAACTCAGCACGTATGACAGCCAAGGCCGCGGTCATCTTGATCGAAAACACTGCAGGTTCTTGGACCTTGGCACTGGCAATGGTCACATGCTATTTGCGCTACGCGATGACGAGGACGATGATGGTGCCAGATGGACTGGAGAGATGGTCGGTGTCGATTACAGTCCAGCCAGCGTTCAGCTGGCACGTCAAGTAAACATTCAACGGCTCCAGGCTCTAGACGAAGAACGAGGAGAGGAAGACTCTGGTGAGCTTGCTCGGATTGTGTTTGAGCAATGGGATCTACTCTGCGAACCACCAGGGACCTGGTTGGGAGAAGGATTCGATGTTGTTCTCGACAAAGGCACGTTTGACGCCATCTCTTTGATGCCACATTCCGGGCAGTCACCACATCCATGTGAGATATATCGGGAAAAGGTGACCGCATTGATCAAGCCAGGCTCATTCCTCTTCATTACATCATGTAACTGGACAAAAGAGGAGTTGCTCGACTGGCTAGCATGCGAGGGAAGCCAACTCACGTTCTACGATGAGGCAAAGTATCCCACTTTTACCTTTGGCGGACAGACCGGACAGAGCGTGGTGACTGCCATCTTCCGCCGAGAGGGATGAATCAGCATTCTTGCATCAACACATGGAAACGCCCGCCTGGCACAAGTGCAGCATCAAGCAGACCTTCTTCTTGAGAAGACGTCTACTGGATATACTTCTTCAATCGACGGAGACGCTCCTTGGCCAGCTCCAGAACATCGTCGTTCTTGCAAACAGCAAACCGTAGCCAATCCTCCGCGAGATGTGCGTTGGCATCTGTGAAGAACTCCGTTGGGGGAATCGCAGCCACTCCGAGCTCGCAAATCAAGAACCACGACAGCTTGAAGTCTCGAGGTCGGCTCGCGACGTGTGGGGGAAAGTCATAATCTTCAGGCAGCTTCACTTTGTCAAGGTTCACCAAGACAAAGTAGCCGCCTTCGGGATCAGAGTACGGCAGTCCGAGCTCATCCCAAATCTTGTTGAACGATGTCATCTTCGCCCTCATCTCCGTCTTGCTCTCTTCCCAGAAGTTGTGTGCATTGGCTTGCTCAAAGGCAACAGCAGTCGCCTCTTGAAGTGGGGAAACACTGGAGAAGCATATACGTGTATGCGCTGCGCTGACATACTTGATCAGATGCTCTGGGCCAATCAAATATCCGACTCTCCATCCAGTGGCGTAGAATAGCTTGCCTGCTGAGCCAACAGTAAGAGTGAGTCTGGCAATCTCTGGAGACAGTGTTGCCATGCGGGTGAAGGGTACGTAGTAGAGGGCGTCGTACACCTCATCGGAGAGGATGATGATGTTGTGCTTGACACAAAGATCACCAATAGCCTGCAATTCTTCGCGACTGAAGACCTTGCCAATTGGGTTGTGGGGTGTGTTTATGACAATCATTCTCGTTTTCTCGGTGACAGCCTTCTCCAACACTCCCATATCCAATGACCACTCGCTCGCACTGGTGGTCTTGCTTGCTCCATCTTTGGGTGGCTGWAGAGGCACGTATACGACCTTGCCGCCCGGCATCTCGATGTTGGAGATGTATTGATCAAAGTACGGCTCGAATACAATGACTTCGTCGCCCGCCTCTAGAAAGCCCATGAACGCTGACAGCATGCCCTCATTGGCACCTGTAGTGATGGTGACTTCAGTCTCCGGATCGAGGGTACGTTTGTAAAAGGGCGAGTAGGCATCGGCGATTGCTTTCTTTAGCCGTGGTCGTCCTTTGGTGGGGGAGTACTGATTGCATTCGACCTTGTCCAACGCGTCTTTTGCGGCGTCAATGGCGAATTGAGGAGGGTTGTATCCTGCGTGGGTTAGAGGAAGTACCTGATTGTCTATGTATTCAAGACAGACGTACCGAAGAAGCCTTGGCCCATGTTCACCATTGGCTGTACGGATGAAGCCTGAGCTGCTTCGTTCACAATACTCCAGACATCTTGACGCTGCCCCGCTACGCGAGCTGCGGGTTTGAATGGGTCTTTGACCATGGTTGACGTTGCAAAAGCTCTCGTCGTCTTGAGTCGAAGGGGTAGTGCCGAAGATAGAGTGCAGTTCGATCCTGATATGCCGTGCGACGCTCGTCTTATCAATGGCTGCATGGTATTGAGAAAGATACGAAGTGGTTGCGCTGGAGAAACAACCTGGAACCTCCGACGTCGCTGATGACTTTCGGCGATCACGTCACGCCAAACTGCTTTCATTTTACCCAAAGACGACTTCAGTTCTTCCTTCTCTGCACACCACATCATCTGCATTCTCATCTGATGACAGTGGGCACGAACAACGGCCATCACGAGATAGTTCCCCACTGGAATGGGCTGCATCTTACGACTGGCCAGTCCAGCACTCGTATCGATCAATCTCAATGGCAAGGAAGTCACAATCCATCGACAAAGCATCACGAATGTCCCGAGGTGACTGACGGTAGTATCTACCACGCCATTGCGGGGATATGTGGCTCTTTCACCCGTTCAAGTTTACTCCTCTTCATGATTTCGGTCGTTTCCACGCTTTTCCCTCCGTGATGAATCTACCTGCAGCGCAGACACGATCGCAGTGAGTGGCTAATCATCATGACCGGGAGAGACGGACATGGAAAAAGTACTTGTTGGCGCCGTAAGATCATTGCCATGGCCGGCCATGGATCAAGCGCCAGCGATGATTCAACCAAGGCCTTGTTTACAACACGACCAACAACACTTTGTTCGATCTGAGATCAGCCACCTTGAGCAGGTGAATTACAGTCAGTGTGTAAGCACGTACAAGCAAGGATCATGGGCTGATTGAGAACTGTTTCAGTCGAGTAATTAGGTTCCAACAGGCATCCGCTGACTCGTCGGTCCGACCAACTACATACAACATGAGTCTGGTGCTACCATCTCCGAACAGCTTCACGCGCGACTACACGTCGGCAAGTCGGAAATATGCCGCATCTCGAACTGGCTGTAGCTGTCCCCTCTTTCATCGGCTCATTGACGTCCTGCTTGGCCACCACGATATTCGGCGTCTTATACTTCATTTACCCACCGGAACGCCATTTTCGACAAGCTCTGGTTGTGAACTTGCTCTTGGCTGGTTCGCCTCCCGTCTCTAGGTCCCAAATATATTTTCTGACACAGCCTAGATTGGATAAACTCCCTGAACAACACTATCTCTGGCGGGATTGCGCTATCGGAAAGACATCGCGAAGATTACTTCACTGCAGGAGCTGCATGCACCACGGTATGTATGCAATCCCAGCTATGATGAGTACTGAAAACTGAACTTCGTTGTCTAGAATGGCTGGATAGGCCAATTCTCGGTTCAGGCCATCGACTTTAACATATTGATCATCTCCATCACGGTCCTGATCACGGTTCGCAAGAACCGGTTCCAATTCCAACCGAGTTGGCTAAAGACATTGTCCGTGTGTGCGATTCCGTGGCTGTTCCCACTCATCACCAGCAACATTGCTCTCGGCCTCCACGGTTACGGGCCTGTCTCAGGCAACTGGTGCTGGATCAAGAAGGACCGTCAAGATCTTCGATGGGGTTTGACGCATGGATGGAGAGTTGCCATCTTCATCGTGACAGTCTCCATTTACACCTATGTCTACATCTACCTTGCAAGACATTATCGTGGGGTATCGAGTGTCGGCTCGCAGGCAAGTGAGCGGGAACTTCATTCGTCTAGCGAGCAAGAATTGAGTCGCATGGGCAATTCAAAAGAGGATGACAAGAAGACTCTCATCCAAACTACATGTGCCCCAGCCTCCCCGAACCACAACACCACTGGTCGAATCAAAAAGACTCCGGACTTGAGGTGAGAGGAGASCATGCTGATCATAGTTTGATCTAACAACTACCAGGAAGATGCTTTTGCTGAATGGGTATCCCTTACTTTACATTCTGCTTTGGCTACCTGGGATGGCGAATCGAGTCCACGAAGCCGCGACCGGATGGTCTCCTGAATGGTTGGTGGCAATGCAATCTTGCACTCAGGTAAGAGCTAGAACTTTGTCCTTGAGTMTACTTGCAGTGACTGATGCGAGCATAGTTCGTGGGACTTGGCAACGCCATCACCTACGCTTTGAATGTAAGCTTAAGATGATCAAAGCTTGATTGATACCTCCACTGACCTGTATGCTCAGGAACAATTTCGAGGACGTATTCGAGACAGAAGTTAGTGCAGCTCTCTGAAATGCAACATGGTGGTCAATGTCTCTCTTGAACAAGATGTATTGGTCTTGCAATTCTGCCATTGTTATATTACTTGATTCGATGAAAGAACGAGAAATGATACATGCATTCATATGATGAACAACCTTACCTTTGGTGGTAGGTAGACAGCGATATCGGGGATCCATAGCTCAGGTCCACTCAAGATACCTTACACGCCGAAGCAAGCAGCTTCCAGCTTCACATCYCCATACCTGCATTGATTGAAATCGGTCTTCCCTAAGTAAACCATGGCCGACATCACCCCTTCAAAGACACTCGTCTACAAGAAAGTAGGAGACTTGGAGATTTCCCTCGATGTCTACCTGCCGGAAAAAGAATCACCCCAACCCCCAGCCTGTCTCCTCTGGTTCCATGGAGGAGGCTTAATACAAGGCCATCGAAATGCAATAGCACCACACATGAAAAAGGCCGCCTCCAAGTACAATCTATGCGTGCTATCCGCAGACTACCGTCTCGCGCCACAAGCCACCATTGTAGAAATAGCCTCAGATGTCTACGATTGCGTCAAGTTCATCCGGAACGATCTCGCCTCTCGTCTTGGCAATACTCCAGTCGACACTTCTCGCCTGGCGGTCTCTGGAAGCTCGGCGGGAGGCTACCTTGCTCTTCTCGCTGGTATTAACGTCGAGCCGAAACCGAACGTCATCATTCCGATATATCCCATTACAGATCCGCTTGGGACATTCTTCACGAACCCTCAGCCGCCGCCAATGGGACGGCCAGCTGTGGAGAGGGAGACTGTAGCTGCGTATCTGGATCCGAATGCTGCTCAAGTTGCAAACAACCCCAAAGATGACGCGAGAGGGAACATGTATGTTCGCATGAGTATGTTTTGTCATTATGTCCATTGAGCCAAGTCATCAATCTGACTTCTCCTTCCAGTGCACGATGCCAACTTGGCCAAGCTGTGGCATGTTCCTGAAGGTCCTGAGGCAAATGCTTGGAGGCTTTCGAGGCAGATATATGCGAAGAGATCTTGTCCTGCGTATATTCTACACGGTGATGCCGATAGCGCAGTGTAGGTTGCTCTGGCATGCTTCGAGGAAGATACCTACTGACCAATCGTTCTTTCCAGCGGCGTCGAGCAGGCAGATGAAGTCGTTGGAGCAATGCTAGGCTGCGGCGTTGAGGTCTGCACTTCCAGGAGAAAATTCGAACAAGCTGCATGCTGACCGTACGCTCAGGTTGTGTACGAACGAACACATGGCGAGGACCACTTTTTGGACACTGGAGCGGAGTATGGAAACGAGGCGCTGTACGCTTTCCTGTTGAAGCACATGTGATGGCGAGCGTACTCATGAGAATGGCATGGTGACATACCAAAGGAGATCTGCAGCTCTCCTGCGTTTTGCCTAGTCGTATGTACATCTCTAGGATTTCGAAGTCATCATTTCCAGCAAGTCTGCATTTGGCAATGGTGGAGTAAAGGGCACCGATCGCTCATCAGACCAAGTGGGACACCTCGAGTAAGACAAGTCGACAGTCTCTTACTGACGAGATGGGTCGTCTGCTGATCGATCGAAAAAGACAGAGCAAGACGATGGTTCATTATTCCAGCTCATGACCACAACCCACTCAAGCAGCTCTCCCCTTTTCTTTGCCTTCATATGCAAGCGCAGGAGCATCAACCACATCTTGCTCCGCCTCCTCTTCTTCCTCCTCATCGGAAGACTCCTCGTCGTCCCAACCAAAGAACCTTCCACCAGATGAAGACGCCTCACCCTTGGCGTCTCCACTGCTTCCTTCGCTCCCTCCCTCTTGCATGTCCTCATCCTCTGTCTCGCTACCAGTCCGGACAAGCATACCTTCCCTCATGGCCTTCTCCACTGCCTCCCTCGTCTTAGCTTCCGCGGCCTCCTTTCCTTCCACAAACTCAGCATCCAGCCTCGTGCCAGCGTCACCTCCCCYGCGGATGGTCTCTTCTCTCTTCTCAGCAGCTTCAACCACGGCTTCTAGCCTCTTCTTCCGCTCCTCCTTCTCCTTCCGTTCCATCTCCGGCTTCATCGCAAGATACTCGGCCAGGCGCTTCGCCTCATCCACAGTCCGTAATCGTCTTCCATCAAGATTTCGGTTTGATCCTGTGGCGTTCGCATTGTTCTTTTTGCGACTGCTCATGCGACCACCGGCGGCGCGCAGCTGGGAGCCGAAACCACCTTTGCCACCGCACAGCTTCCTGCTGAGGCGCAGAGAGAGGAGGGTGTCATCTGGGGTGGAAAGAAGGGTTGAAATAGGCTGTGATGAGTTGGGTGACAGCTGCTTGTTCGAGACGGTCGTGATCAAGAGGCGAGGGTCTACGGCGGGCAGACGCGACAAGATGGTGGCATACACATCGCTGATCGGAGCCGAAGGGGCGGTTGGCAGTGAGAGTGTGCGCGGCAGACCGAGGCCCGCAAAAGTTGCCACCAGAATGTTGAGGGTTGGTGAAGAGTCCATGGCGGTCGTATGTGAGGTTGTTGTGGTGTTGGTACGGTGGGATGTTGTTGGAGGTTCAAGTTGAAGATCCACTGCGGACATGGCGGGAAAGGCGCCGAAGCATCTGTCACGCTGCATATCTCAGAATGCTCCAAACGGCATTCGCGCACACATCAATTCAAACATCGACAATTTTGGAAAGCTGCGACACCTCACTAACGACCAGCAAATACCGCCARCATGCTGATCCCGTAAGCTCATCACCATCTACCATTGATAGTGCGCGCTGACAACTCAAAAGTAAGGCAGACCGCAAGGCCATTYACGAGTATTTGTTCAAGGAGGGTGTGCTCGTCGCCAAGAAGGACTTCAACCTGCCCAAGCATGGCGAGATTGACACCAAGAACCTCTACGTACGCTGCACCTCGAGGAGCTCGCCACTGGAATCTCACTGACCTGCCATAACAGGTGATCAAGGCCTGCCAGTCGCTTACCTCGCGCGGCTACCTCAAGACCCAGTTCTCGTGGCAGTGGTACTACTACACCCTCACCCCAGAGGGTCTCGACTACCTCCGCGAATGGCTCCACCTCCCAGCCGAGATCGTTCCCCAGACCCACGTCAAGCAGCAGCGCAGCCACGCCCCACCGCGCGGCATGCTCGGTGCTGATGGCCGCGAGGAGCGCCGTGGAGGCGGCCGTGGTGGTCCTCGTGGTGACCGTGAGGGCGGATACCGTCGTCGTGAGGGTGGATTCGGTGGTGAGGGCAAGGAGGGCGGTGGCGCTCCAGGCAGCTTCAACCCCGAGTTCCGTGGCGAGCAGCGTGGTGGATTCGGTCGTGGCCGTGGTGCCGCTCCTCCTTCGTCCTAGGTGGACAGTGGATGGACTGAAGCTGATGTCTCTGCCGAGCCGGCCAAGCAGGGTGGATGGGAGGATAACAGCGCTGCTGAGACTGCCTTTGCCGCTCCTGCCGCTGGAGGCTGGTAAAAATATGATGATGCTAAATGTGGGATTGCATGGCTGAAGCTTGGCTGAAATAAAGTAAGCTTAGAAAAACCAAGTTGCCCGGAGTTCTGTTTGATGTCAATACGTTGCTGTCCATGCCCTGGCTTGTCTTGCTGTTGTCGAAATGGAGGTACGATCACGTCAGGTCTAAGAAGATTGATATTCTGCACGACACAAGTCATCAATCAGCTGAAGAACTTTTTGATTTTTGTACGATGAACGTCGGCCTCTATCAAAGCCTTTTCCGGCCTTGGCTTAATCGCTGGATGAGAAGCATCGAGCCACAGCAGAAACATTCCCACCCGCCCATATTTCCACGACCATCTGACTCCCCTGTCAAGATGTCTTGGTAATCGAGAAACGGACATCACCCGTCGGACCCTTTCCTCGATCTCCAGCATAGCATGCATCTGCTATTTTATTCCACTGCTGCCATCTCAGCATCCGGAGCAAAGTACCGGACCAGGCGTGCCTCAAACCACTCCCTCTCTCCTACTTGGAAACCTCCGCGTCCAATGTCGTCGACTCGGGTGTGGAAGTATGAGACGCTTCTTGGCAGGATGTCGGTAAGAACATTGTACACAAAGCACTCAACTGCGGCGAAACTCTCTACGCTGTCGAAAAGCACCTGGTAGATGTGGCTGCGAGAGGTGAAAACCGAGTCGCTTCTACCCTGACACACCTCACGCATGTATTTGGCGTAGTCCGCGCGGTAGCGATCGAACTCGTCTGGTTTGGGAGTTTCCTCAAAATCAACCTCCGGGGGCCAGCGATAGTCTGGACACCAGTCGACTTCGAGCCAGTGCGGGAGACTGCACCAGCCAATACAGCGGGGAATTGATTCGAGGCAGTCCCAGTCTACGGGACAATGTCAGAACAAGTTAAACATCTCCAGATGTACTGCTTACCTATCAATCCCGTGACCTTGCCGGTTTCATCTGCAAGGATGTTCTGCCGGTTCTTCAATATAGGTCAGCAGAGGATAGATTACGATGAGCGGATCCACACTCACGAAATCGGATTGCATCAACACGAATTCTGGCTCGCCGGCCTTCTGCTTCCCGCCGCTTTGGAGGAATGCTTCAATCATCACATCCCAAAGAGCATAGACACCAACGGTTGCAACATCGTGCTCGACTCCAGGATTTCGGTCTTCTATCAACCGCTTGTGCTGGCCACAGCGAAGCAATTCTGCTACCGAATCTCTTGGTGGGAATTCAAGAAATTCGCGCTTAAGGGCGAATATCTTTGCCTTGTCCAGCCGATAGCTATTTCCGACCTCAGGGGGGCTATCGTCATCAGGGAACCAAAGTGTTCCGGCTCGAGCAAAGGTTGTTGTCGCTAGGGAGCGCATGATATTGGCAAGATCGTGCATGATCTTCTGCCTCCGCGCCTCCAAGACTGACGGTGTGACGCTGAGATCGTCCCAAAGATCTGTCACACTCTTTCCCTCGAGAAATGTCATGATGGTGTACGGCGCGTTGATCTCATTCTTCGTGTCAGCGCTATAAGCCAGGACCTGCGGAATGGGCAGCTCGGTGTTTTCGTAGATGTACTTCATTCCCAAAGCTGTCGCTCGTAACAGGTCTGCATCGCGGCTGTCGTGCTTGGAGTCAGTTCTGCGTCAGGCCTTGCGTCTCAGGGGTTGCAACTCACTCGTTCCATCGCCCAGGAAATCCGCATGCTGGAACACGCACACAGATCCTCCATCCGCGGACCGATTCCATGATGTATGCTACGTTGAATGAGCCATTCAGCCGACGAGCGAGCTTGAAATGTGGCTCGTAGTCTGTCTGGATGACGTGCTGCAGTAAAATGGCCAGCTGCGCTTCTCCGATATCTGTCGTTGTCCCCCAATACTTCGGAACGTCTTCGATCTGCTGCTTGACAGTGGGGACCCGCTTGAAGGTCTTCATCTTAGGATCCTTTTGTACCTCTGGCGATGCCTTGGAAATCTCCTCATTCACCTTTGCAGTGCTCTCGACTGGCCTATCGCACCCGAGACAGTGCTCTCTGATAATCGCCTCCCTTCCTGTCGATGCCTCGCCGGGTGCATCCTCCTTCTGCGAGCTCAATGATTTACCTTGGCGCCCGCGAAACTTGTCGATGTACCGCTTCATTTTGGAAGACATTTGGGCTTGATGAAACGCACTGCTGCCTGGGAACTTACGCATGGTTTTCCCTCTTTCAGGGGGGGAGCAACCTCACTCTGGAGGAAGGCGGTCACGACGTCCTCGCAGCAGGCACAGCGCCTGACGGCGATGTGTTGCCTCCAGTGACGGTGGATCAAGTCACGCGCTCATTTCGCTCGTCTTGTTGTGCTGCGGTCAGGTGTAGTTGATGATGCGTTGTTTGCTCTCGGTGGCGATGTTGATGTTGATGATTGAGTCACGGATTTCACCCGTCGCGGCTGTAGAACTGACAAACAACCCAACTTCACTTCTTCGTTTGCTCAACTTCACTGCACTGCCCTCTTCACTCCAACAACAAACCCCACCTACCTCTCCGCCCTCTCTGCCGAGCAGCTCCTCCACACAAACACATCGACAATCTCCCTCCGAGATCAAACAGCAACATGCCACCCAAGGCACAGCGTCCTCCTCCACATCGACCTCTTCCACCATGGCCTTATGCCAACGTCCCCCCGATGCCATGGGTCGATCGGGCACTCGCTTACGAACCAGCACCAAAGCCAGATCAGTCCAAAAGCGACCCTGGTATCGACGTCAGGTGGCCAAAAGACGTGGAGTTTGGGACGCTCGAGCGGCTGCATCTCTTCACAACCGGTGGCCACTGTCAGATATTGCCCCAATGGTTTGTCGTCTATTCGTCAAATTGATATCGAGTACTAACATCGCAACAGTGGCGTCTGCAAGACTTGGCTCGGTCTCCACTGTCATCGTCTCAAGCACGTCGCGAACTGTGAGGCGGCTGGTCATCTCGGCGAGCCTTGTGGGAGGCTCTACACTATCTTCCGCGGCTGCCCAAGACACCCATACAGTGCCGGACACAACCCCGAGCAGTCAGCATATGCGGACGAGCTCAATCCTCCCGACGTCGAAGGCCGATGGGCTGCATTGTTCAACTTCCCTATCCCAGAGCCACCCAAATTGATCCCATTCAAACCTTGGTCGGAGACTCTTCGTGAGAGGGCTGAGGCGGAGGCAGCTGAGGCCGCGAAGTTGAAAGAAGCCGACACGTCTTCTTCAAGTCAGCCCAGACAGTCGACAGGTTCGGTGCCGCAGCCTTTGGCGAAGTAGCTGCGCCGCTAAACCTGCTACACATGACTGCAATTCGTGATCACATCGAGGACATCGAGGCTGGCTGTCTAGGATCGAGTTATGCATTGAGGACAGCACCCCGCGGTCCGTTCCTCGGAGGGACATTGGTGGGAGTTAATGACACTTTTTTAATGGATGGGCGTTCGAGAAAGGTGTACATTGAGGGTTTAACGAGTGGTAGATAGCGGCTCCATCAGTCTAGTAGCATATGACCATGTTCGGAACGAACTCTGCTTTCACAAAGAGGCGAAGGGCTAGTGAATTTGAAGGTTGCCGGCTCTCCTTGATTGAGCGAATCAACGTCGATWCCGCCAGTAGATGGTTACAAGCACAAAAAGAAGCAGCCTTGTGGAGAGCCGAGTGTCTTGTGGGACAACGTCTTCTTAATTGTACTGTACTTGTTGCAGACGGCGTACAATATGTGGATGCTGCAAGCCGTACGGCAATGTTCCACTTCACCGGGCCTYAGGCAGTTTGTTCAAGTTCAAGCGAAGTCATGTCTTCTACTATTACCTACCTAATTTCCCTTCTTCCCACAGACATGTCTAATCAAAGCATAGCAGTTCTGCACCTCACCATTATGTACACGTCCTACCACAACCCTAACCCTAACCCACTAGCGATTGGAACAACACCCAGCTTCACATCACGCAGATCTTTCTTCGTGGCTCTTTCGAATCGAATTCATCATCGCCAAATCTCGAACGTATCCTCTCCTTCTACACCACACCATCGTCTCAGCAGTAAATGGCAGAGCACGATGGCATCCATCCGGATGCTCTCCCATAGGCTCCAACGCTGTCCATATAAGAAGACCATCAACACAACATCGCCCACGACTGCCCTCTCCATGGCATAGAGGGCTACTCTACTAGTAGGTAATTTTCTAGCGGCTCCAGAATTGTCGATTCTGCATAGAACAAGGCCTTGAGACGTAAAAAAGACGACTAAGGGTGTCTTGTCTCGATGAAGAATCTTCATATCGACAGCTCTGCCCATAGCTACCAACTGAGCTTGTCGAGCAAATCCTCGCAAGCTCCACCGATTTAAGGACATTGGCCGTCAGCTGTTCCATCTCGAAGCTCGGTAAAGGCGTCGCAACGCCTCTCTTTTATCACACTCTTGAGATCGCTGATGAGAAGTTCTACGCTGGAGACAAGATCTGCTGTGGCCGTGAAACTCTTCAAACAATACTTTGATATGGACTCTGACAATAAAAAAGAAAACATGGAAAAGGACGCACTCAACACTTTGCAGCCAGAATCGTTGATACCGGTTAGACATCCCTCAACTATTGAGATGCACAAGCTGATACATGCATCACTTGTGGCAGAGATGACCAGCACTCCTCGCGAGATCCAAACCAGACAGCTTCACCATCAAAACCTGTATGAAGTACCATTGGATCTTTATGCGCGATGGCGAAGGTCGTTAGTGCAGATGCAAATTTGCCTGAGAGGAAATGACCATGCAGTGCGGTCGACCTGAGCACGCCGAGACGCTTCTTCTGCAATGACTGCGCGACGATGACGAGGAGATTGCGATACCTGCCTTCGAGACCGAAGAGTCCTTCGAGATCAGAAGCGCCATGTTTGAGACGGGACGACGATGGACCAGGCAGAGCCTGCTCGTCCACAAGATTTTTCCACTCTACAAGGTCGGTAGCCTGTACCACGGGCACCCAACTCCCTATTTCGTACAGCACAGACAACAAAATGACAATACCATGCACCTCATAGGCTGAACAAACTCACATTGACGTACTCCCAACCAGTACAGCYCAATCTTATAGCTGCCAAGATCCTACCTCCCAAGGTACTTCGTACACCAGCCCAAATTCCATTGACACGAGCATCATACAGCTGTAGTCAGTTGCTGGGCGCTCTCCCACCCGGAAGCCCACCATCTCAGAAAAGAAGAAATAATCTTCCCCCCGCCTTCCGCTCTTCTCCTTGCCCAGCTTTCGGGAGCTGCAAAAATGTCCTACCATAAAATCCCTCGCATGGACATCAACTTTATCCTCAACAACAACACATCAACATCAAAGATGTCTGATGAATCTGTTTACAATCCTTTCGGGGTCGGTTCTCGTACACCCAATACCAACGCCAGCGCCAGCGCCGGCACCATGAACTGTACCTGCAGGACCTTCGCCGACCCGGGAGGATACTTCGATTGCCACCTCTGGGGACCACTAAATCCCGGCCCCAATTGTCCATTGCACCCGATGCTCTCGGGCAGTAAGGCAGGAATATATGGTATCATGCCGCCGGGATATCCTCCATCGCAGAGTTACAAATCCCAGAATGATGGCGTTTCCAGCACTCCCGTCTCCAGACAGCTGATCGGGAGCGCCTATTCCCTTCCCATTAATCCCGAGGAAATGCAACAAGACAGGACGCATCTGGGATTGGCGCCAATGCAATCGATGCTTCCATCATACCCACCCACCACCACGCAACACCGATCCTCCGAGCATCAATCTTCTCACGCACCAGGAACGGGACCCAGCCCTGCGTCTCTGCCTCGACCAAATGAAGTAGAACCATGGAGAATCCAACCCCCAAAGACGCCTCCTTTCTTGCAGTGTTTCGATCAACCTACAGCATACCGTGGTGCCGCGACTGCCTCGCTCGGCGGGGGYCCGAACTTTCGCGTCGATGACTTCCTCACCGGTTATGAAACAGGGCCACATGTACGTTCAAGCAACGGTACCTTGCGCTACCGGAACTATGAAACGTCCGAGAGGAAGCGTAGGGATTCCACCAGTGTCCCCCAATCCACCAATTCCTCTAAGCCGAAGGTGGCAGGGGATAATCCGTCTTCTCTACAGGAACATGTAGCGGCCTTGCATCGACTGACGGACATGCCATCTCGTCGACTGCCAGTGTCCATCCCGTCACCACCCGTGGCACCACGCCGTCGTGGCGAGGATAAGATCGAGACTTGGCGTGCTAGAATGCCGGTCATGCAGAGCAAGAAGGCTGATACTCTATGGAACCTGAGTGGTATACCTGAGCAAAGGATCATGGGCCAGGGGCAACCGGCCGAGAAGAGAAACGTTATGAAAGCGGTAGAATCGTCGAAAGAGATGGCGAAGCGTAGTGCTGGCTCGTCTACGGAGAAGAACGGATCCTCTTCAAAGGATGTTGTGGACTCAAAGCCAACTCTCCGTGTAGAGATTCCTGCAATTGGAGGCAACCCGCCGAGACAGGAGATCAAGCCTGAAGCTGGCCCATCTACAAAAGAGAGCACATCCGATCCGTTGAACGGCGCGGAGCCAACGTCGACTCGAGGCTCAGAGGTGCTCGTCAAACCAGGAGTCCTGTCCATGCAAGATCTCCTGCCTAAGCAAGATCTGGAGACGAATGCTACGTCGTCGTCCACAGAGCAGAGCCCATCATCTTTGACTCCAAGCAATGGCGTGCAGTCTGCATCGAATCCTGCTGGTCAGATGCCCACCAATGGCGAAGAGCCGTCGAAAAAGGCTCCAAAGTCTATGGCTGACTCGTTCGCCGAGACGACGAGCACACGCGCTTCGACTCCAACTGAGCCCGGCAATTGCAACCGGACTCCTGGGTTCGAGCGACCCCGGAGCCATTGCGGTACGAGAAGGGGGAATTGTTACGGGGACTGGTCGTCTAATGGCGCACCGTACAATCGGCCCGAGAGATGGGGCGCGTTCGGAGTCCAATACTGCCCGCCGATTCCTCTTCCTGGCGACCACATGCCTGGGCCTGAGCCTGCTGGTTGTGGCAAGTGTGGGGAGGTGGAAATGTGTGAGCACGAGCTTGAGAGCTTGGGATGGGTAGACACCAAGGATGAGACTGCTGAGACTGCTGAGATTGCTGAGAAAGCAGGCGGCGAGTCTGGATTTGAGGCCGAGATTGATGAGCAGGCCGAGGAAGAGTGGGATCTGATTTGAGTGGTTCCTTGAGTGATGGCATTGAAGGGGAGAGGATGACCAAAGAGAGGGCCAAGCTCGGGGATGTGGTGTCAACGACACAGCCGTCTCGTGTGCTCAGTCRGATAGATGGTCAGTTTCTCCATAGCTCCATAGATCTCCAACGCATGTTTATCGCGCACCCTTCCCTCAAGAAGTCACTTTCCCCTGCATCCCTTCTGCCAACTGGCCCAAGTCCCTCAACATGCCCCTCTGCTTCCTCACCTTTTCCTCCAACATGCGAATTTCCTCCTCCTGCTCCTCAATCGTCCTGTCCACATCCGGCAACGCCTCGACGGCCCTCACCGCCGCACGAATTCTAGGTTTGATGGATTTGAGCACCTCCTCGGGCAGATCTTTGGGCGCAAGAGGGACGAGAGTGTCTGGGGGATAATGCGATCCAATGTCTGATTCCGAGGTCGAATCGTCGAGAGTTGGAAAGAGGTCAGTGGCTGCGGGGCCTTGTTCCACTCGCGCAAGGAGTTCGTGAAGCGCGGGGAGGATGTCGAAGGTGTGTGCAGGTGGCATTGAAGGGAGATTGGAGGTGTTGTTGGTGTTTGTGGTGGTCTTGATGGGGTGTTTGTTGGCCATTGTGACAGATGTTTAGATTAGTTGTTGACCTGTTGATGGAGGTTGTTTGTTGTTTGGAGTGAGGTGGGGAGCATGTGAAGTTGATCTTGGCCGGTGTCGGATCAGCAGTGGGGGGTCGTCACTGCCCCTCGCCTCGCCTCATCGTCGGGCGCATGATTTGTTTTTTGTTGAGCTGCTTCAAGTGAATTTGTATCTCGTGACGGAACAATCCCCCGACAACACCTTACCTTCCCTTCATTCCACCGGACAAGGAGAAGCAGCAAATCAAGAGATCAAACACCGACAGAGCGCTATCGGACAACAACCTCCAGTCCATCCATCCATCCATCCATCAAGGTCCTCCCCCACATACCACGACCCAACATGGCCGAAGTCAAGCAAAAGGTCGCTCTGATCTGCATTGACGGCTGGGGAATCCCCGTCGAGACGTCTGACCCCAAGGGAAATGCCATTCTCAATGCCGAGACGCCCGTCATGGACGACTTTGCCAAGTCCGGCAGCAAGACAGCACAAGGATACACCGAGTTGGAGGCTTCTTCCCTCGCCGTTGGCCTCCCCGAAGGTCTGATGGGCAACAGCGAGGTTGGACATCTCAACATCGGCGCTGGACGTGTTGTGTGGCAGGATGTGGTCCGAATCGACCAGACCATCAAAAAGGGCGAGATGAACAAGGTGGAGAACATTGTCAAGTCCTTTACTCGTGCCAAAGAGGGGAATGGTAGACTACACCTCTGCGGGTTGGTCAGTGATGGTGGTGTGCACAGTCATATCAACCATTTGAAGGAGTTGATCAAGGTGGCCAAGGAGATGGAACTCAAGGAGGTCTACATCCACTTCTTTGGTGACGGCAGAGACACCGATCCCAAGAGCGGTAAAGGCCATCTCGAGGATCTCCTCGCTTTCTGCAAGGAGCAGGGTGTTGGTAAGTTGGCCACCATTGTCGGCCGATACTATGTTATGGACCGTGACAAGCGATGGGAGCGTGTGGAGAAGGGTCTCGAGGGAATGGTCACAGGCAAGGGAGAGGAATCCACCGACCCCGTCGCAACCTTCCAAGCTCGTTACGATGCTGGAGAGAATGATGAATTCCTCAAGCCAATCATCATCAACGGTGCCGACGCCCGCATCAAGGACGACGACACGGTCTTCTTTTTCAACTACCGCTCCGATCGTGTCCGCGAAGTGGTTCAACTCCTCGGTGACCAGGACCGCTCTCCCCGTCCCGACTTCCCCTACCCAAAGAACATCTCCCTGACCACCATGACCCGCTACAAGACCGACTTCAACCTCCCCATCGCTTTCGCTCCCGTAAGCATGGACGATGTTCTCGCCGACTGGCTCTCCCAGAAGGGCGTCAAGCAGTCTCACATTGCCGAGACGGAGAAGTTCGCCCACGTAACCTTCTTTTTCAACGGTGGTCAAGAAGTGCAATACGAGGGCGAAGACCGCGAACTCATCCCATCGCCCAGAGGCGTCTCAACATACGACGAACAGCCCACCATGTCCGCCATGGCCGTGGCAGAGCGTATGGCCGAGCGAATCGCAGATGGTAAATACGGATTTGTGATGAACAACTTTGCTCCTCCAGATATGGTTGGCCATACAGGTGTGTATGACGCTGCAGTCATTGGCTGCGCGGAGACCGRCAAGGCTATTGGAGTGGTGTATGAGGCGTGCAAGAAGCATGGCTACACCTTGTTCGTGACGAGTGATCATGGAAACGCCGAGGAGATGTTGACGGAGGAGAAGACGCCCAAGACTAGCCATACGACTAACAAGGTGCCTTTTGTCATGGCCAATGCTCCAGAGGGATATAGTCTGAAGAAGCAGGATGGTGTGTTGGGCGATGTGGCACCTACTGTGTTGGAGATCATGGGTATTGAGCAGCCCAAGGCTATGACTGGACACAGTCTGTTGGTCAAGGCATGATTACGTGAAGAGAATGGGAAGTCAATTAGCGAAGCATTGAAGACTATACATAGAGATGTGTAGATGATGAAGAGGATTATGACACGCCATTTGTATATGCTTTGAGAAGGAGCATTGTCTATGTATTCAGTACATGAGCCGAGATCTTTCAACCACGGCATCAACTAAGATTGAGTTGGGTATCATCGCCAATCAAAGAAACTCCTTCTCAAAACTCGCTCGCAATATCCTCCAAAATCTGATCTCGATACTTGACCTGCAAGCTCAAATGCGTCTCATCCATATAATGCAACCTCGCCTCCCCTCGAAACCTCTTCGCAATCTCAACACCATGATACCCCGACACATTCTCATCTTCCTTCCCAAACCACAAATGCATGGGTAAATCCGGCCTTATTTCCTCGACTTTAAATTCCCATTTCGATCCGAGAATTCTGGCATCCTGTAACAGTGTATCGTAGCCACGGAGAAAATACTCCTTACTAGCGCGGAGAGAAAGGCRTAGGAGATCTACACTTTCAACTTTCTTCCAAATCTCAAGATCCTTTTTCGAAAGCTTGGAATTTGTAATCTCATCAATGCAGATTTCAAGTTTCTCGTCCTCGCTAAGATCTCGGAGGTTTACRGGCCAATGCGAAGCCTGGTAGGGAAATATCCAGGGGATATAGTGAATGGCATATTTATACCCCACCCAATTCCTCCAGCCCATTCCTTTGGAACGATATCTCTGAATATCGCCCATGCCGCAGACGTTGGCTATAGCTTTGAGATTCTCGGCTGGGRGGTAGCGTGCACACGCCATGACATAAGGTCCTCCGCCTGAAGTACCTATGACTGCGAATTCTTGCAGCTGGAGATGTGTGGCTAGGAAGTGAATGTCTGCTGCGAATGTGCGAGGGGTGTGGGAGGGATGAGGGGAACTCTGACCTACTCCCGGACGATCCACGCCGATGATGCGGAGTCCTAGATTTTTGGCGGGGGAGTCGTGGTAGGCTTCCTCAAGGCTGGAGCCGGGGAGGCCGTGGAGCTTGATGATAGGTTTGCCGGTGAGGTCGCCGTATTGGGTGTAGCTTAGTGAACGATTGTCGGGGAAGGTTAGTTTTGCTGAGGAGGTGTCGTCAAGGCGGAAGCGGCATGGTTGGTTGAGCTGGGAGCGGAGTGTGGTTGCTAAATGCTGGGCTTCGGGATTTGAGGTCCAAGATGTATGGTTCGCATAGTATAGTAGGCGGAAGGGATAGATGAGAAGATGGACAGGGAGGAGTATGACGGCCTTGAGGGTGTTGAGAGATGAGGCTGATGATTCTGTCATAATGAATCGCTAGGAATACTTGCTTTGGCGTTTGAGCAGGCTGCTGTATACCTAGTCAATCGACCGTGAGGAAGTACGAGGAAGATTACATGTTGACTCATTGAATATGGTGAATCAACAGCTGACATTGCGCGGCTGAGGGCTGATGAAAGGCTGAAGAATAAAGACCAGACGCTGGAGGATCCGATTTTCCCCGCGCCAGTCTATGCGACGTCAATCGAGCGCCTTCCTCGCCAATCCAGCTGCTYTTCCCCCAAATAATACTGTACCATCAACGTGCTGGCAGTGTGAGTGGGCAAGCTCCAGACGGTATTGCATTCCCTTCCTCTCCATTACTCACTCATCTAATAAAGGTATTCTTTTCATACATGATTGAATGCATGATTGCGGGAGGAGAAAGGTCATACCGGTGAATGCACTGCATCATACGAGACAGACATGACGTAGGCTGCTGAATGACCGCACGGGAACTTCATCATTCCGCTGGGATTGGCTGGTCATGTCGGCGGAGGTGAGAAAGAAGCAAAAAGGTACGTGGTGGTAGGTGAGAGGTGAAGGGGAAGTCGCTTGCGGATGGGAGCCGGGGATGGGGATAGATGTGGCTGATGAACATGTGGCTTGRGCTCCATCTCATCGTCTCATACACCCCTGCTAGTCTATCTCCAGGCCATGCCGTTGGATAGAAACAGCCATGTAAAGCATACGATTGGCCCATCCTCCCGTATGAGTCTAAGACATGCGCGACGACACTAACTTTGTTGAGCTTGCAGCGATCGACGTTCATCTCGCTCGGAAGCGGCCAACGCGCCAGCCACACCCGATGAGAGCTCTCCTCAATCACTCGAACCTCCATCCACTCTACTCGAAACCCGCCCATTCTTTGATTCGACCAAAATTGCTGGGAATCGCATCCTCCTTGCTGCACTCACCCAACGTCCCGACGCCGGCAGATATTCTCCACGAGCGACGCCCACCTCGCACAAACACGCACATGCCGACAGAGAACAGACGGCAGACGAGCCGCTTTCTTCTGCCTGTCGTAGGACGGGTGGCCGGCCGGGGGGAAGTGTGAGAGCGTGTGGATTGGACTCGGCTGGTCCTAGTCATGGAGGCGACCATCATCGCTGCTGGACCGTCGTCGAGCAGTGAAGTCATGTCCACTCCCTCATCGCTTCCACCACACCACCACCACCATCAACAACAACAACAATCACAACAACACGACGACTCCGACTCGCGACACGGCTTCGGCGTCAAGCCCAGCATGAGCGGCCAGGAAAGCGCTGGATTCAAGGATGCCACCAAGGCTTTTGTCACGCGCATCCACGACGACGATGTCCAACCGGATGGAGAGCGAGATGTCACATTCCAAGGCCCCCGTCTGCGATCCAGTCGCCAGTCCAAGCCCATTCATGCCGCGATGGTGGTGGAGAAGAAGAAGTTGCTCGACTTACCCGTGGACATCCTCAAGGACATCGTCAAGGAGGTCACCCACACCAACGACCTCACTTCCCTCGCCCTGTGTCATTCCGCCCTCCACCGCCTCACCATCCCGCACATCTACTCCCGCTTCGATATTGTCTGGCCGGACAGCAGTACGCATGCCGAGCCGAGGAGTGGTGTCGATGCCCTGACGTATGGTCTGGCCACTCTTGTCATGGCGGAGGAAATCTTTGGCGAGGCACCCAACCAACGGCAACATCACAACAATCGCTTCAATCAGGGGAACAAAAGTGGAATTGCGTCGGAAATGGCCATCCGGCGGCGACGCGGAAATCACTATGCGCAGTTCACAAAGAAGTTCTCGCTGGGAAATGGTCCCGCGGATTGGGTGCAGGAATATCTCATCTCCAAGGAAGGTGGGAAGATGCTGGGAACGCTTGTCGCATTGGCGGTGGCGCGCATGCGATCGCTCGAAACCTTCATCTGGGACATGCCCACGGGAATCTTGAGGGATGTCTGGTTGGCCTTGTCATCACTGGGAGATCGCGACGATGGACAGCCATGTCGGTTGGAGAAGTTGTGGGTCAGGTGGCACGACAACTCTTCCAACACCGATCATCTGCATGGTGAGGACGTGAAGATATTGGGGTGAGATGAAATGCTAACTCATGGAACAGCTCCTCCACATGGAACCGCTCAGATCCCCACCATCCCTGGACAACCTCGATTGCTACAAATATCCTCCGCGGATCTGGATCGTGTTGAACATCCCTCCTTTTCAGTCCTACCACCCCTCAAGAGCCTCAGTGTATTGGACATTGACGAATTGGCCTACCTGGATGAAATGGCCGTGCTCATTGGAAAGTCTCTCGACAAACTTCGCGAGCTGAGGGTGGGAATCGCACGACATGCCATGACCAAGGACTGGGTGACGGTATGGGAAGGAGACGTCGTCCATCAAGTCGACCGTGACTTCCCGACAGCTGGTACCGTGACTATTGGAGAGAAGAGACTCGGTGGTGTGTTGGGGACTTTGACGGGCTTTGTGTGTGATATGCGGAGATCAAAAGTCGTCTTGCCGGATCGGACGAAGCTGAGAAGGAGATCAAGCCCGGTTGCGGCCGCCAGTGCAGGATCAAGTCTCGCAGCATCGCCATCAGAGGCTCCACTTCCCACAAACATCACGCAAGCYCCGTCTACATCGACAGCGTCTGCCTTGCCTTTTACCGAGGCACCTTCGCTGTTCGGATTTGCGCTACCGGCGAACCCAATCCCGCAAGCAGAGATCTCACCGACGATTGGCTCGAATAACACACCAGAACAAACCGCGCAGCCTCAAGAATCACCAGACACATCAGAACCGGTTCCATTCTCGCCCACCGACGAACCACTCCCTCTCGCAACACCAAACGATGAAGACACTTCCTCTCGACTCGCCAACAAACTCAAATTGGAATCCCTGGAACTCGAACGCGTTCCTCTTTCCATTCCCGTACTCCAAAAAGGCATCGACTGGACTTGCCTCACATCACTTACCCTCCTCCACTGCCCCAACCACGAACAACTATGGAAGACTCTTCGAAGGACATTCCAACCGAGACCGAAGTCTCCTGTCTATCCTCACGCTCGACTGCGATCAGCCAATCACACTCCGCGGAAAGGTGGCAGCAAATCCGCGACAGCTGCCTTTAACCCCGCCGATATGGAATACGGCCTCAACCTGAAGAGGATCCACACCAACACCGTCTCCCCGTCTCTCATTTCATTCTTGAAGGAGACGCTGGCGCCCAACACCTTGGAGGTCCTCTTCCTCCAAGATTCCCGCGCCTTCCCCACCAGTGTAACAATCGAAAGCATCTACCGCGGTCCCCTTCGACGGCATCGAGGCAGTCTTCAAAAGCTGTTAATTGATTCGTCGGAGAAGACACCCGAAGGCATACCAGTGTGTTCCTCGACTCGCTGGAGACGATGGATTACGCCGCGAGAGATTCTCTCCTTCATCCTCAGCGGCAAGATGTCTGCACTCCGCGAACTGGGACTAGCGATGGAATACAGGGACTGGCATTTCTTTCTTCAGGGCCTGCCAGTCTTGAAAGGATTGCGGAGTTTGTTCCTGACGGGATTGGCGGACTACCCTGGCCAAGGGGTAAGTGCAGGGCATGGAGGAGGAGTGTGGGATGCGAGAGAACTGGCATTGCAAGTGGTCGACATTGTAGCGCTGCGAGGGGAAGTGGAAGTCTGTTATCTGGGAGTTGGGGGAAAGTGCTTCGAAATCCTGGAGAGAAAGGAGGGACACAAAGGGGATGGGGAGGTTGTTGTGGGAGGCGCGTCTGGGGTGCATCATATGGAAGACGAGGAGGAGGAGGAGGAGGAAGAGGAAGAGGATGATGATGATGGGGAGATTGGGGAGGAGGACGAGGATGAAGGCACGGAATCCGAGGACGATGATGACGATGACGACGACGACGATGATGATATTTCTGTTTTGAGCGAGGATGGGGAGGTGCGAAGACAAGGGGGACGGTTGAGGTTGAGGGAGATTTTGTTTTACGACGACAAGGTTGCGATTTTCAAGGCCAGGCATGGGAGGTTGTAAATTGACTGGGAATGGGGTTACGGATGGACGGCGTTTTACTGGGGATATTGAAAGGGAGCACTGGGTTGAAAGGCAAGGCGTTGGGGTTTGATTGGCGGATGGTGGATGGTGGGCAACTGTCTGTCGTTAATGTGGATTAGTATATAAGGTAGTAAGTATCTATCTTGCCTGCCGGTCAGTCTGTCTATCTTTTAGGATTGATGGGGGCTTTAATTTGAAGGATCTCTGTCCCGGTTTCTATGAGCTCTATTCGCTCTGTTGCAGTACTGATGTTGCTCCTCCATTTCTGAATAGAGACATGGATTGGCTTGTCAGTCGTGGAAGTACCTTACCCTTTCCTGCACGGCCTTGAACGAGTCYAGCTCCGGAAGGCCAGTCGGCACGTGCGAGTGAGGGTGGGTTTCGCGTTTCCCCTCCTCTGCTCTCCTCCACACCTTCCACACCCAACCGGGGAGGGCCAAGGTAATCGTGCATCTCTTATCAACATACCATCCATTCTTGCTTTCTTCGTCTGGGGAAGTGAGAATGATAACAGACAGCTCGGCATTGATTGCACTTTGATGGCTGGCCTGTGTTACCTTACCTTATCCCACGGATCCACCTCGTTGAAAGTCGGGGGAATTTACGTAGATTAAGTTGAGCACTGGAGTCCAACCTACCTTTTCGGCTCGTCGCTTAAATTTCACAGCCCCGGTCCTTCCCTTTCCCTATATTCCTGCCGAATAATCACGACATCGCAAAACACATAAATCCCGAGGGAGGAAATCATATCATGGCGGATTCTTCTTTCGCGTCGACCCAGCCGACGTCCGCGACGCCGGCTACTACTGCTGCTGCTACTCATCGCAAAGTCACTCGTTCCCGATCCGGCTGCGAGACTTGTCGAGCGAGAAAAGTGAGGTGTGATGAGCGGAAACCAGTGTGTTTTAATTGTGATCGGTTGGGATTGGTTTGTGCTTCTTCCTCGGATGCTATTAAAAGTCCTCTTACCACTCTCACATCTGGTGCTGGAACGCCTAATAATGATGATGGTGGTGGCGATGAGGAGGACGAGGACAGTAAGGATTCTTATCAACGACAACAACAACATCAACAACATCAACGGAATGGAACGTCAATATCTTCTACGGGATCGGGATCGGGATTGAAGCGGAAAAGGACGTATCGAAGTTGTAAAGAATGCAGATTGAGCAAGACGAGGTGTTCGGGCCAGAAGCCGGTTTGTGCGAGGTGTGGGGAGAAGAGGTTGGGGTGTGCTTATGAGGATGAGGGAGAGCCGGCGTGGAAGCAGAGGGTTGTGAAGCTGGATTCTCACCGACCGGGCAAGGGTAAGGGTGGGAGTGGGAGGAGAAGGAATGGGAATGGAAAGGAGGAGCAGATGGGGAGTTTGAATGGGATCGAGGGGTTTGGTACCACGCCGTCGAGTGTGGAAGTGGAGAGGAGAGGCGGATTGGCGTCACCGACAGCAGGAGATGATCTTGCGTGGCTGGTGCAGCCCAATCTCCCGGATCATTCACGCATGAGGATTCTGGCCGAGAGGTATTTCCAAAATGTGCACCACTTGAGATGCTATGCCTTCATTCACAAACCCACGTGGTTAAGGCAGCTGGACAGCGACGCGGAGAAGAATCAGAATTCGAATGCGTTGCTGCACATTGTCTGCGCTTTGGGAGCCCTGTTCTTTGCGGTCGAGACGGAGACGTCTCGATCTACACCCCTACCCATCAATCCCTTGGATGCTGGCAAGTTCTGGGCGGACCGAGCGCAGAAATTGATTCTTGCGAGACTGGATCGGATTTCGGTGGAGAATCTCATGGCAACGGTGCTGTTGCATGATTATGAGATTCGGATGGGAAATTACAGCAGTTCGTTCATGCTGTCAGCCATCACGGCTCGCATGGCTCAAGCCCTGCAGATCAATCTCGAACATTCTACCGATGTCCTGTGTCGAGATGCCGATTCCAATGCTCCATCGGCGAGCGTCAAGGAGAGTCGGAGGAGATTGATGTGGTGTTGTTACATCACCGACAGTCTGGTGGGCTCGGGCATCGATCAGTTGACTTTGATTGAGACGAGTGAAATCAAGATCCAACTACCTTGCAATGAGAGGAATTTCGTGTTGGAGGAACCTTGTATTACGGAGACGCTGGAGCCGGGACAGATGTTGGGCTTTCTGCCGAGGGAGCTGTTGCYCAAGTTTCCGCTCGATTGTATGGGTATGACTGCCTTCTACATCCGGCATATCGCTACCAGGAGAAAGGTTTTACGGTGAGTTGTCCTGTCGAAGAGCAGAGCTGTCGATGTCAGAAATCATCAACAAGAGTAGCGCCCTGAATCGCTCTCTCGATTGATTAACGGGCCACTCTGCTAGTGGTCAGGATTCTAGCAAACCTAGAATCGTCGGGCTTGCAGAGAGCGAGGCTTCATGACATTCTGGGATGACTGGAGATCTCTTGTCCCTATTAATGACCCTCATATCGACAGCTCTGTCAAAGAGATCGATTGAACTTCACTAACTCGCATCGTTTTAGATACATCAAACACCTAGACACCGCTTCCCCACCCTGGCATCCCAACTCTGAATTCGCCCAACTAGACAACGAACTCCGCTCCTGGTACAACAACCTTCCCGCAAACTTACAATTCACCCCTACAACCCTCTACATCCGCGCTGAGACCTCCCAAGTCGGAGCATTGGCCGCGCTTCATTATGCTTTCCATCAGACCATGTGCGACCTTTATCGAGTCGGAACTCCCTCCCTCTATCGCCTCCGCTCAGCTTTCGAGTTCCCTCCTGAAAGGCAGTCTTTCCTCGCTCACGTCCGCTATACCCTCTTCTGCCACGCCCGCAGTCTCGCGACCATCATGGCCGAAGCTCTCCGCCACGGGCCGCACGCCATAGCCGATAGTTGGCTCCCTACGGTGTTGTATGACAGTTGTAAAATCATGCTCTTCTACCTCACCCAATTAATCGATCCTCAATTGGAAGAGAGTCGTCGACTCATGGCGGAAACCATCCCGCTGGTGAGGAAAAATGTCGCGGCGCTGAGGGTCATGAGAAGTATGTATGCTTCCGCGGAACCTTTGAGTAAAGCCGCCGAGGCGATGTTGGAGAAAGTTTTGCAGGGAGCTGTGGGTGGAGGACTCTCGGTTCTGACGGAGGATCCTTATGCTGAGGAGGAGGAATGTGGGGACGGAAGGAATGGTGGTGTTGGCGGGGATGATGTTTTGATTGGCAAGCCCGCGCAGAGTGCTCCGGATGATGTCCTCAATCCATTGAGTATTTATCGGTTGACGCGGAAGAGTATCCCTGAGAAACATGCTCCTGAGCGACAGCCTTTGTTGAGTGGGAGTTGTGCTGGGACGGTGGATAGTACGCCTGTTATGGGGAAGAGGGCTTTTGTAGGTGAGGGAGGAGATGGTGGAAATGATGGGATCTATGCCCCGGAATCGAGAGGGGAGAGCGGGAGTGGGAGTGGGAATGGGAATGAGGAACAGATCAATTTTGATGAGTTGCAGAGCTTGTTCAGTAGTGATCCTACGGGGTGGACTTGGCAGCCTGCGGAAACGGCCGTGGGGAGTCGGATTGAGAGTGGAGGGTTGCYGCCTTGGGAGAGTACCATGCTGGATGTTGGGCAGTTGGATGCTTGGTTGCCGGCTTTTGCGTTGGATCCGTAGCTTGTTGCTATGAGGATGGATGATGGATTTGGAGGGATGGGACATAGATAAGGACTGAGGGTTTGGTCGATAATACAGATTTCCATGACCAAAAGGACATTACTCATTCATTTCTCCTCCCATCCCTATCGATCCATATCAAATCCTAGCAGCCTCCCTCCCTCCCATCCGGTCTTCTCTCCTCATCTCTCCCCTCTACCAACTCAACCCTTCCCTCAGGTCTCCACCACACATTCCTAAATCCCTCTCGCCCTTCCTCCAAATTGTCCTCCGTGAGCGGTAAATAATTATCCGGTCATTGCTCCCTAACCACCTCTCGAGGTTAATTGACCACCACATCATTCGTGGAAAACCTCCAAGCTATACCTGCAAGCCTTCAACCGCATCCTAGCATACTTACAAGCATTAAGAACCTCATTCCTCTCCTCCAAACTTGGCAGGCTGTGGCGTATCGTAATGGCTGCGTAATTTTTGGTGCATCATGGCTACTGTTCACATGAAAGTATTTTGGTCGAGATCTCTCTAGATGTACCGACAAGGATTTGAATAGTCGATTCATCTCATAACTAGCCGAGAACCCTTTAGCGCGAAACGCCACACATTGGCAAGTGAATTGAATCGTTTTCGACCATGCTGACTCATCTCTCAAGGGCGAGTCCTTGGGAGGTTGAACACTGCAAGTAGTACGTAGGACTCTTACGTGGAATGAAGGACCTCATGTCTTCAGGTGTGCTACGAGAGAAATAGATGTTATTCACGCAGATACCTCGCAAGCTCATTCTGCGTACTCCTTCATCTCTCGCCAAAAGGTGTGGCAAATAGTTGCTCATTATGGAGAGCTCCTCGGTGCAGATTTGATTGCTTTGCTGTCGAAGCGTGAGACGCCGTCGATGAATTCGTCATAGCCAGGGCAACCACTTGAGATCCAGGAGAGTTTTCAACCGCTTGGCTTGGGATCTCGGTGTCATTGGAGATTGGGATTATCTCCATGCGAGAGGAAGAGTCTATCAGCATAGCAGCTCATTGACCGGAGAGGTCTTCCTGCTACCGTGACCAAGATGAACATAGCCGTAGCTCTGAGAAAGCGCGGGCGAACTAACTTGGGTCCATCGCGTTAGCAAAGACACGATCAGATTCTGAGATTAGAACAATGGGGAAATTGGCATGTACACATTTGTGCGATCATTTGTTTTGTCCAGAGAACAGCGTCGAGCAAGGCTCGACTATTTTCTTCCATCTCACCGGTTATCCAACCCTAACACTCCGCTTCTCTCGCGAAGTAGCCATGAAGACTTTTACATCCTCCGCCCTTGGCCTTTTGACGATGGCAAACCCTTCGTCACTGCCGGATCCACTGGAAGGATCCGACGTTGAACGTTCCGTCTCTGATGTTGATCGCTCTGTTTCTGATTCAGGCGCAGGGTCAACAGCGTCCGCCGCTGCATAGACCACAGCAGGGTCATTGACAGCAGCAGTAGCCTTCGTATCCACAGGCTTCACCATCGCATGACGATCCGCGGAGAATTTTCTAGTCGACGCATCGAAGCTCAAGTACGATGTGTGAAGCGCAAAATACAGGCCCAACAACAGCACCCTCTCACCCCTCGCCTTCGCCTTCTCTGCGGTCTCGATGCTCCTCCCGTCRTCCTCTCCCTGTCCCTCAAACCATCCAGGACAGAAAAAGAACTGTCCCCAAATCAGCCCTCGAATGAGATAGTCTTCGGCCAGGGGCATGGCCTTCTTTGGATGATCAGGGAGGGAAGGTGAAAAGATTCCACGTCGTGCGGAATCCAAAACTTTTGCACTCAACCCCTCCTGACCTGCCAGAGCGTTCAAAAAACTGGCAAGCCCGTCCCATGCCAACGATGCAATATCAACAGGAAGAGCATATGAGTATCCWGGTTTGCAGGAGAGTCGCGCCTCCAATGATGATAGACTGTGAAGCCACACCAGCATTACATGAATATAAGGTAAGCAATCTCGGAGCGAGCATTCCCCGTCGCCTTTCAAAGGACGTCGAACAATCAAAGCAAATGTGGAAGACCAGAACCGAGTGCTGAAAGCCAAAGAACCACATGACGGTAGTGCGAGAGCCGGAGTAGGCAACGCCGAAGTTCGACCGCTTTGCACCGACAAAGTGATGGCGGTCATGTACAGTTGCCAGAGTGAGTTGAGAGGGTCCCCAAGATTGAACAGGGCGGATATATTAGTAACAGCAAGATATGAACCGAAGTCGCGCAACCTCGAGGACTGTAGCTGAATGAGTCTGAGAGCATCATTGYCAACTTTGGCGATCGTCTCCTGGTCTGCTTTCGCATATGAAAGAGCATGGTAGGTGACAATCCGAGCTTCAGCGGATTGCCTACTGCTCTGAACAGTCCCCTCGTCCTGGATGATGGGTGTACAGAGCGTCGAAAGCGAATCTCGGGCGTTTTGAAAAGGTATGACGCATGTGAGAGCTTTCACGTAGAAGCAAAACTTCCTTAAACTCGGCCGTTCCAGGATTCCAAGGTGGTGGTAGAGTCGGCCAATCGCAGGATGTCTGTCAGAAGCCATGTTGTACCACCGCGCCGCAACTCCTCCCCACGTAGCATGCGCTTCCTTCTCCTCCTCAATCGCCATTCGATAGCGTGCAAGATCGCCCAAGCATTCAATCCATGTATCTGTGAAGCTTGGTACAGTCTCGTAAAGTAGTGCCATCATCTGGTAAGCAAGGTAGATGAATGCGAGCATATACTGTTGGGCATGAGGCCTTCGATGTCTCAACACCTCCAAAAAAGCATGGATCCCGTGTTTCCACATCCTAGCGGGCATATTATACTTAGCGGGAAGACAGCGCAATGCTGGTGTCGCAGATAGATGCTGTGTGGCCTGGGAACTTTGTCAGATTTGAAAACTCAACATTCCTACCAACATACCATGAGGAAATCGTGGTGCTCGTAAAGGAGTGTGCGATGTAGAGCAATCAATGCCTGCCACTGTTCAGGCTCAAGTACGGATTTTGTATCCTCAGCTTGAGCGGCATCCATACTGGTACATTTCGCTTCTACCATAACAAGCCCGGCGTAGATTCCCTTGACCTCGGCCGCAAGTTGTTCCTTGGAGATGGGAGATGAATGTGGCTGCATCATTAGTCCGGGATATCGACTGTGTATGGGCGATTGCTGCTGCACCATGCCCTCCAAACCCATTCCAAAGTTGGCGAGGCCGCGTGCATTGGCAGATTGAAGCGGATGTTGCGAAGCATAGCCCGAATCATCACGAACAGGCTGTCTTGGCTTGTCCTTGCAGATAACCTTTGTGCTGTCGCGACGAAGATTCTCAGCAGWGCTTGCAGGTGCATACCGCTGCAGTCTCGTCTTCAACAATCGCGGCGCTTGCCGCGCCTTTGGACCATTGCAGCATCGAGGCGCCTGATGCCCTCCTGGGCGTTGCAATTCCGAACTAGCAGAGCGCTTTGATACAACGGCAGGAAGCACAGTCACCACATCTCTCCCCCGACACGGCGGAGGGCTCGCGCCTTTGACCATGTCATGGTCCAAGGAAAGTCGGCCAATCTTCTCCGTGGCCGCACCGGCGTGTAATGACTCTGCCTTGACAAGAGATTCGGGCGGCGTAATGTCGTCCCCATCCCCGTGGTTGTTCATCGACTCATCCGATGAACTTGAAGCTRTCGGTGAGTTGCAGAGATCTGTTGCATAATGTCCCGGGCTGCGAAGAACATTATCAGTATTCTATATACATGCATAGAGGCCGCCACCAGCATGACGAAGCAGCATGCCTGGTCAGCCGAGGACGTACATCGATGAGGCTGCCTGGTCTGTGTGAGTCGAACGATGAGTGGCACGGTCTAGGGCAGGCAGCGATGGTTGATGATGATGAGGAAGCGATCCACCGCCTACGGAGTTGACGTCGCGGCT